AGAAAGAGAAGTTCATAAAGCCTCCGGAACCTTCTTTATTAGCTTGGGAGAATTTGGTAATAAAGGCATAAGAGACATTGAAACAGGGGAAGGTACAAGGATCACTCAAGCTGCGGATGAAAACGTGATAGAAGTCGAAGATGATACAGAAGAAGAAGAGAATGGTGATGCTCCGAGTAATGGAGACAGTGGTGATGATGAAAGGGAACAAACACCACCACCGCCGCTGAGAAGATCAGAAAGGCCAAGAGTAAAGCCTGCATATTTGAATGATTACGTCCTTCTCGCAGAAACAGAGTGTGAAAAACTTCTGATGGTAATCAATGAAGAACCTTGGGACTTTAGCGAAGCCAGAGAACTGAAAGTGTGGATAGATGCTTGCAAAGAAGAGCTTTCATCAATAGAGAAGAACAAGACATGGAACTTGACTAGTCTCCCCATAGGAGTTAAGCCAATTGGCTTAAAGTGGGTCTTCAAAATAAAAAGAAATGCAGATGGGAGTGTTAACAAGTATAAGGCACGTCTAGTCGCCAAAGGGTATGTTCAGAGACACGGCATTGATTTTGACGAGGTGTTTGCTCCTGTGGCACGTATTGAAACTGTTCGGTTCATTATCGCTTTGGCGGCTTCTAATGGCTGGGAAATACATCACCTCGATGTTAAGACTGCATTTTTACATGGAGAGTTAAAAGAAGAGGTTTACGTTAGTCAACCTGAAGGATTTGTTGTTTCGGGTAGTGAAGATAAGGTCTATAAATTGAACAAAGCTCTTTATGGCCTAAGACAGGCGCCTAGAGCCTGGAATGACAAGTTAAACACAATTCTCAGAGAATTCAAGTTTCATAAGTGCTCAAAGGAACCATCACTTTATCAACGAGAAGAGAAAGGACATCTACTTATTGTGGCAGTGTATGTAGATGACTTGCTTGTTGCAGGCTCCTCTTTAAAGTTGATTCGGGAATTTAAGAAAGAGATGGCAACAAAATTTGAGATGAGTGACCTTGGAAAGTTGACTTATTACTTAGGAATTGAAGTGCATCAACATGAAGGTGGCATTAGTCTCAAGCAAGAAAGGTATGCAGAAAAGATTTTGGGAGAAACAGGAATGGAAGGCTGCAATCTATCTCATGTTCCAATGGAGATGAACCTACAATTGTCTAAGTCTCAGAATGAGAAGGGTATTAATGAGAAAGATTACAGGAGAAGTATTGGCTGCCTTCGTTACTTGATTCACACTCGTCCGGATCTCTCTTATAGTGTTGGTGTCTTGAGCAGGTATATGCAAGAGCCCAAAGAATCCCATGGAGCAGCATTGAAGCAAGTCTTGAGGTACATACGTGGAACCACCTCTCTTGGTCTCTTGTTCAAACGGACAAAGAAGATAGATTTGATGGGTTATAGTGATAGCTCGCACAATGTTGACTTAGACGATGGTAGAAGTACAACGGGTCACATTTTCTTCCTCAATGATTCGCCTATTACTTGGTGTTCTCAAAAGCAAGAAACCGTGGCGATGTCTTCCTGTGAAGCTGAATTTATGGCGGCTACAGAGGCTGCAAAGCAAGCTATATGGCTTAAAGAGTTGTTGAGTGAAATACTAAACATTGAAGGGAAGAAGGTCTTGTTGAGAATCGACAACAAATCGGCTATAGCTTTGACAAAGAACCCGGTGTTTCATGGAAAAAGTAAGCACATACATAGAAGATATCATTTCATTAGAGAATGTGTTGAGAATGAGCAAGTGGAGGTAGAGCACGTTCCCGGCAATGAGCAAAAGGCGGACATCCTAACAAAGCCACTTGGTAGAATCAAGTTTAAGGAGATGAGAGGTTTTATTGGAGTTCAAGATATGAAGAAAGATAACTTCAAGCTTAAGGGGGAGAATGTTGGCCTAAGCTTGAAGTTACTTGAACAATAAGTTATCTTTGAGAGAGATTAGGAAAAGTACTATTTAGGAGTTATCTAAATATGTAAGTTTTACTTTTGAGAATTGGAAAACTCTTCTCTATATAAGAAGATGCTAAGGTGTAGCATAACTTATGAGTTTTGAGAATAGAGATTGAGTGCTTAGGTTTTGAGTTATTTTCCTAAGTGATTAATAAAGAGAGTTATTCTTTGTTGATCTTTGTGTTCTTAAAGCTTTTGTTAAACTATATAAATATGGTTAACATATCATATTTGGAATCTTTATATAATAAATCACAAGTCAATTCTAAAAAAACTGCAATCCTCTCCATCCGACACCTGTCTTAAGTCCTAATTTTTACACTTTCAGATTTCTAAACAATTAAACTTTTGCTATTCGACAAAAAAAAAAGACTAAAAAAAAAAAGTTTTCTTGCAACTGTTTCCCCTCTTCACCCCCACGATCTCAATATCTCCTCTATGCCTCTCTTTTTCAACAATAGAACAACAACATTATTTCATACAAAAAGCTTACAAATATCTTTCTTCCTTGCTCTTTCCTACAACTTTTATATGTAAAAATTTAATAAATTTGATTAAAGTTTTGCCCCGTACGGAGTACGGGATTAATACTAGTAAATAATAAATTTGAAGCTTGATGATCAGAAACAAAATCAGTAAAATTAAAGAACAACACCTGACACAAGTAACGGCTACTTTAGTAGTTAGCGGGTGAAAAAGAAGAAGACATGCTAACGGTCAATTCCAGCCTGGCACGTAAATTACAAAAATACCCTCAACTTTTTTTCTTTTTCCGTTTTTTGATACGCTCCTTTTATTAAATTAAATTAAACATTTTGTCTCTATTTCTCTTATAAAATTTCAATAATTGAACCTCTCTCTTTCTTCTTCTCCGATTTCAAGTTGAATCATTACTTCGAGAGAGGTAGAGAGAAAGGGATCGCCTTTTCTCACTCTCTGCGTATTTTCAATTTTGGGCAAGAAGGTACGTTGCGATTTCTGATGAAAAAATCATTCTTTTTCTTCTTTCTTGAAATGATCGACTTGGGATGTGATTCTTTGCTTTCTCTGTGTTCTCTCTAAGATTTCTTCGATTTTTCGTTTATATATTAACCCCAATTAGGTATTTTGAGTTATTCTTTGAAGCCCTTCGTCGATTGCACGAGATCCCAAATTGTTTCAATTTAGGGTTTTCTTTGATTCATCAATTGGTTGGCTTTGTTCTTGTGTCTTGGATGCGTTTCGTTCTTATCAGGGTCTGATTCAGTTATTTTGCTTTACTCTTAGTTAATTCGTGTCTTCACTCTTCTCCAAGAGTTTCAAGTTTAGATTTTTGTTCATCGATTTTGCTCAATTGCCTTACTTTTAATAGTTCATTGTGGTGTGGAATCGGATAAATGCTGATGAAACATTAATGCTGTGAATGGATATTGTAGCTTAGACCACTTAGTTTAGTCATTTCTGTTGACGAATCAACGCATTAACCTTTTATGGCTTTGGTACAGTTTTATCGCAATTGAGTCTTGAAGACCAGTAAAGGATTTTATCACATTGGTGCTTCTGCCTGTTTATCTGAGTCTGAGGACAAGAACTTCTGGGGAAGGTCCTTTAGCGTTTATAATTCTCCATGGTAACTATCTCTCCCTCTGTATTCATTGCTTAGAATTGTTCTTACTTGGAAACTTATGAAAAGCCTATGAAGTTGTATCTGTTCTGATTTGTCTTCTTTGATGCTCAGGCTAGTAATGAGAATCTACCACCCAATGTTATCAAGCAGCTTGCCAAGGAGCTGAAGAGTCTAGACGAATCTCCTCCAGATGGCATCAAGGTTGTGGTAAATGACGAGGATTTCTCACAAATATGTGCTGATATTGAAGGACCAGGTGCACACTTATTACCCTATCTATTTCATTCTCGTGCAAGATTATAAATGTTGAATGATGTAAAGTAAGATGTTCTTCTACTTTGATTGCATTCAGTTGGTACTCCTTATGAGAACGGAGTTTTCCGTATGAAATTGGCTTTGTCACATGATTTTCCACATTCACCGCCTAAAGGTATGCATGTCACTTTAAGGCAGAGACACAGAGAATTTTTATTAATGGTTTCTAATTTCTTGAGTGACATTGCAGGCTACTTCATGACAAAGATTTTCCATCCTAATGTTGCTTCTAATGGAGAGATATGTGTTAACACGCTTAAAAAGGATTGGAACCCTAGTCTTGGATTAAGACATGTTCTCTCTGTAAGATGATTAACCCCTTATGTATTCATCTCTTTGACCGGTTTCTTAAAACTGAAGACTGAGGATCTGTGTTTTGTACATGTTAACAGGTTGTAAGGTGCTTATTAATCGAGCCATTTCCAGAATCTGCATTAAATGAACAAGCTGGCAAGATGCTACTTGAAAACTATGACGAGTATGCGAGGCATGCTAGGTGAGCCATCTACTTTGGTTTCAAATGTTGTCAAACCTTCTACTTTTTCTTTGCCGAAAGATGAAATGCTTATATACTGGACTATTACTGTATGCAGGCTTTACACAGGTATCCATGCTAAACCAAAACCGAAGTTCAAGACAGGAGCAATCTCAGAGTCAACAACCGCTCTAAATGTTGGCCAGACAAACAACGAGACGCCTAGTGCTGCTACTGCAATACCCTCTTCAGTGACAGACATAAAGAGAGTAACAACGAGTGCCCAAGACCAACAGCACATGGCTAATGTCGTTGTAGCAGCCACAGCAGGATCTGCAAGTGTGGTCACTACGACTCAGAAAAGGGAGGCAGGTTTGGCCAAGGTTCAGGCAGATAAGAAGAAGGTAGACGCTAGAAAGAAAAGCTTGAAGAGACTATGATGATGCTATCACTCAGATGTCTTACGCTCTTCGAACCTAAACTGTTGTTTCCTTTTTACTTGTAAGAGATCTGTTGTTTGAGGATTTCTCATTCTGGGAAATAATAATGTTTGCCAATGAAGCCGAATGTTAAACATTTTGGTGTTCTAATCTACATCTGGTTTTGCTGAGTAATCTTTGATAAGACAAAAGACACATCAACATCTGGAACCAGTCGTCTGTAATTCTTGCTATATTTCATCAGAATGTTCGAAAGAATATAGACAAAGATGATACAACAGTGAGAGATTGTTCATTGCAGTTACTTGGGCAAGTCTAGTTGAGATGAGAAGAACGAAGGATCGCGCTCAGAAGCATCATCTCTAGTTGTCGTAGATCTGTCGTAGTTATCACTAATTTCCTTGATATCATCTAAGTTTCGTGTTGGCAAAGGAAGCTTCCTCGGACTCTCCCTTTTAGTGAGCTTGCCTCCCATTTCTGTATCGTATCTCACGGAGGAGCTATACTCTGACTCATACTCGGATCCGTTAGATGCTATAGTCATGTCATCTTCTTCCGGGACCATCGCTCTGAGATCTAGTTGCGAAGGCGGGATCTTGGCAAATAATACTTCTTTAACATTCTTCAGTAACCCTCTCTTGTAAGGATTTTCTTTCTTATCGTAACGGTACCGGAAATTCTCATATGTTGTCTGCAAAACAGACACAACACAAGAAAGCTCTCAAGGCTAAAGCAAGCTAACAAGATTTAGGTGTGATCCTATGATAAAGGTAAGGAATGTACCTGGTTTGTAGACATGAGATAGAAGTGGAAAATGGTAAGTCCACCAACGAACCAGACAGCGACGAATGAATATACGATAAGAATGACTGACACTATATCATAAGACATTGTTCTCCATAGCTTCCCAGGTTGTCGAATCAGATTGATCCAGGAGAACACAAAGACATATATGCATAGCAATGTTGAAGATGAGATGAAGCAAATGAAGAACGGGTAGTTTCTCTGCAAAAGTTTCACACCAAGAATCAACTACTCTCCGAACAAAGAAGTGTACAAATCTATGGAGTATCAGTTAAAGACTTGAGGTTCAAGTCTGTGAGGAAGAACTTACTCTGGCAATGCATTGTCCAACCCATGGACAATGGTGATCAAAGCGTTGGACACAGTTGTTGCAGATGGAGCAATGTGATGCACGAGGTGGACGATAGAGCAAGCAAGTATCGCAGAACTTGACTTTGATAGTGTAACCATTGACGAAAACGTCTTTCGTTCTTGGAATCTTGAGATTAGGAGTTTTGTTGTTGACCCATTCCATAGATTGTGTTAAGGAACTATCTGAATCATCTTCAAGATTCATTGATGTTTTATTCCTTGGGATGATTCCTGGATCCCTAGCTGATGTCAACAATAGAAACGTAAAATCCAAGATGGTGAGGATAAATCCTGAAGCTAGAACGGTATAGTTGAAGAAAGGATCTCCATTTTTGATCCACAAGAGCATCCTTATACAGAATGTAAGCGCAGGGGCACCAATCAAGAAGGAGGTTAGGAACAGAGATGATACATCAGGACCAAAGATTAGTCTACCACCACAGCAAAATCTCTGATGAAACAAAACCAAAACCAAACATCATATAATATTCACATTCTGGTGGAACAGCAAAGAAAACATGTAATATTGGCATTAAGAGACAATTTCATGCAATCATTGAGAAATGTGTTTCAGAGAAGGAAGGAAGAAAATAATATTACGTTGTTACCCTTCCAGGCTTTGTAGAATCGGATATGAGAGATGTGTTTAGAAGAAGAAGCCGTCATGAGAATATGATCACCAGAGGGAATGCAATGAACCTGACTAATCTTCTTCTTGCTCATTCTCTCCCTCTGCATTTTCTGTTTGCTCCTTGCCTCAAAAACCCATACATGAAGCCTGTCTTTACAAAAAGATTCTTCAAAGATTCTAAATTTTTTAACCGAGTTTCAGAAATTCCCAAGGTTTTTTTTGTTTGGTATCAGCCAAATTAAAGATGGGTTTTGGGGATTTCTGTATCTTCTTGATTCTTTTTTTTTTTTTTTCTTTTCTTGTTTCTTCTTGTATTTTTTTTTCCTTAATAATCCAATGCAAACCAATCCTTCTGCATGCAGTCTTGTTTTGTCTCTCTCTAACAAATTTTTTTTGTCCTCTAATAACTTCCAAGATTTTCGGTAAACTTTTACTGAAAAGAAATTTTAGGATCAATCAATAATAGATAAAGAAGAGAAGAAGGGCCGCAAGGATAAATTTTAATTTGATGTCTCTCTTATGTGAACATCATGTAAGATTCTTAGCTTTACTGAAAAAGTTAAAATAATTATTGTATAAAAAGTTTTACGTGCCATTTAGACCATGCCATGCCCGTTTAACGACCAACTAGATAAATTACCCGCACTATGTGCGGGATGAAATGACAATTAAAGAACTGCATTGTAGTTTTAGTTATAAAAATTATTGTATTATTATCCGGAATCCAAAATTTGTTAGTGTATTATGAAACATGTTAAAAAAACGTTTTATATTCCAATCATCGATTTTTCGTATCGGAATTCGTTTTACCCGTAAAATAATTAAAGACGACAATTTATTTTCTAACGTAACTTAAATAACAAACACATATACATCTTTGTAAAAGAGTTGATGAAGATTTACAAAATTTAGATTGCTCAAAAACTAAGAAGATGTGTGTTTGGTAAATTTGAGAGGATGAAGATGATATCAGGGAATATATTTATAGAGAAATATTTTTGTAGGGTTCCGTTTAATTTTTGAAATTTGGATTGCCTTCAAAATTTGAAATATTAATTTATTGTTGATTTTATGATAGATTTAGTTTTGAGAATTAATTTTATAAATGTAGTTTGGATTTATGAACCTAGGAAAATTTGTACTTACAAAAGTTATAAAAATATATTCAAATATATTAATTTACATGAATTATAGGTTTACATGTTTGAGTTGTTAAATATATCTATATATATATATATATATATATGTTAGTCTGGATTTAAAAATATAGACCTTAGATCAATTTAATATATATACATATACACGAATTCTTTATGTATAGATAGAGATATGATGTTTGTATTACTGATGTTTAATGTTAATTAACGAAATAATTAGAATATCATGGCACATTTGTAACTAATCTAGTAATATATAGACCATTAGTTTGCTCGATTTATGAAATAGAAAATGTCTGTTTGATTTTAAGTTTAAGTTTGGACGTAGCATGTCTTAAATTTTAATATTAGATAATACAGATTTGTTATTTGTTATGCATATATAGAAAAAATGTAACATTTGTTATGTGTTTGCTAATATAGAAATAATAAAGTTTGTCTCGTATACATTGTGTTTTTTTTTTTTAATTTTTAATTAGAAATTTGTTTTTGATAAGTGGGATATATGGATATACGAGACTAATGGCAAATTCTGTAAATAGTCTAATAAATCTTGGGTAATTATCTAAATAGAAGCCAAATCATTGTAAGAACGACACATTAGCACAATCTTGTTAATAACACATGATGGTAAGATTTTTTTTAAAAAATGTTTCTCTATTAATATATAGGGGATGTTCTATGTTTATATCTGTTTATTCTCTATAGTCCGTCTAAAATTCTGCCTATTTACGGGGGTGTTATTGGTTTGGGATTTAGAAAGACTTTTAGTGACTTGATAATAAAGGATTTTAAAAGATTGTTAAAAAGTTTTATATTATCTTGATGATTTATTTTCCAAAATCTTGTAAAGTCTTTAAAACTTTTTTCCATAATCTTGTATACTCTTGATGACTTTTCCAAACTTTTCCTACAAAATATTTCCAAAATCTTGTCCAATTTTTATTAACGTCTAGTGACCATCTTCTATCTTCTATATAACATGTTCTGTGTAGGCCTGGTTTTCTTCTATATACTAGGTTGTTTATCAGAGTTACAGAGGTACGCTTCTTCTATCATAATACTCGCTTATGAATTTCGTGTGTCGATCGTTAGATTCTTGTATGTTCATATAATATTTAATTGTTTTCATTGTGTTTGGATCTTTTGATTCTCTAGCACCAAAATCAATAAAATTTGCAAAAGTCAAGTGATGTGATACGTTTGGTTTAATAATATATACATGCGGAGATTTGCTTATGCTGTGATACGTTTGGTTTTGTGACAAGTCAATGGTCTTTTTTTTTTGATACGTTTGATTTGCTTATCATGATCACGTAGGGTGAACGTTTGTCAAACATAAACACGTCAAATATTCCTTTATTTGTTTGTGTATACGTTAGTGTTCATGTTTATAATTTTAAGCTGATTTTTAATTACTCTTTGCAGGGAATTATGGAGAGCACCATTGTAAGAGAGGATGAAGATGACGAATCAGAAATGGATATTTTGCTATTACTACTGAAAAATACGACGAGAGCTTACTTCACGAATAAACGTATTGAGCGTCCGATTCGTAAGCCTATCACAAGAATTGGCTACATTTACCTCGAGAAACTTTTGAAGAAAGATCATGACCGCTTTCGAAAGGTATACCGTATGTATCCTGACGTTTTTTTGAAGTTATGTGATATTATCAAAGAAAAAACATCTTTAAGAGGTACCCGCCAGACTTGTCTTGAAGAAATGGTGGCTACATTTTTGCTCACCATTGGTCAAAATTCGAGATATAATTATACAATGGACACATTTGAGAGATCAAAGTTTGCTGCAAGCACAAATTTTCACAAGGTTTTAAATGCATTAACCACTATTGCACCAAGTCTTATGGCCAAACATGGACTCACAGTTCCAGCAAAAATAAGAGAAAGCACACGTTATTATCCTTATTTCAAGGTATGTTTATTGCAAACTATAATTTAAAGTACGCTTCAACACAATTTAAAATATTCATTATTTTTACAGGACTGTGTTGGAGCTATCGACGGCACACACATTCATGCAATGGTGCCCGCTTCTAATGCACCAAGCTATCGTAATCGGAAAGGATATACATCACAAAATGTTCTTGCTGCTTGTAACTTTGATCTAGAGTTCATATATGTCCTTAGTGGGTGGGAAGGTACAGCTCACGATTCAAAAGTATTAAGCGATGCTTTAAAGAGAAGTAAGAGCAAGCTACCTGTTCCTGAAGGTATATACTTATGCATTACACAGAAAATTGTTACCTCTCTTTTGTTAATATGACTATTAATATCATTGCTATCATATATGAATTTCAGGAAAATATTATCTAGTTGATTGTGGATTTGCAAATCGACGCAATTTTTTAGCTCCGTTCAGAGGTACAAAGTATCATCTACAAGACTTTAGAGGTCAAGGTTGTGATCCTAGTAATCAAAATGAGTTATTCAACTTGCGTCATGCATCTTTGAGAAATGTGATCGATAGAATTTTTGGTATCTTCAAATCTCGCTTTTTGATTTTCAAATCAGCACCGCCTTTTCCTCTTAAGGTACAAGCAGAACTTGTATTAGCTTGTGCTGGATTACATAACTTTCTTCGTAGAGAATGTCGGTCCGATGAGTTTCTTCCTGAAAAATACAGTGACAACGACGAAGAAAACAATGAGAGCCACGAAGAAAACAATTATGAGGAAAATGGAGATACGGGACCTCTCCAATCTCAACAAAGGGAATATGCTAATAATTGGAGAGACACAATAGCTGCTAGTATGTGGGCAGAAGCTACAGGAACAGGGAGCATACCATGAAGATCATGAAGTTTTTATTTTCAAATATTTTTCTCTTCTTTGCCTGTGTTGGATTAAGGGGTGACAAAGATCTTAGTTTGTTTGGTTTCATTGTTTGTGACGAAGCTTGCTATCTTTGGTTTGTTTGGTTTCATTGTTTGTGACGAAGCTTGCTATATACTTTTGAATCGTGAGCTGGTTTTTATTTACCAGAGAGTTGTACTAATTTGGTTCTTCGATTTTGCGGTTTTGAGTCTTGATAGTCTTGTTTTTGCTTCATCTTCTTCCTTTGATATCTTCTGATTCAGACCTCGGTTTGGAGATCTAAAAGTTGTTCTGAAATCTTGAGATCAAGATATTTCCAACCGTATAAAGATGAGCTTCTGATTCCTTGTGAGTCGACTTGAGAAAAAGTTTGAAGTTGGTGCACTTCAGCTTCGTCGCTCTGTTCTTCGGTCTTGGTAGATTGGTCATAACTTTCAGACCGTGACAGCAAATCACGTTCCGCTTTTTCCTGTAGCTTCGTATATCTCTCTACTATTTTTCAACAAAGTTTCATATTTTTCTGGGTTGTTTTGATAACCCTTTCAGTCTTTGAACCAGAACACGTCTGTTCTGTTATCCTTCTTCCTCTTTTTTGGTTTTCTTGTTTTTTGTCTTTGTCTTTGTCATCTACAAATAGATGACCAAGACAAAGACAAAGACAAAAAACACAAAAAGATCATATCATCTCATAAACAGATGTCTTTGTCTCCTCCATTCCCCAATTTTGGAACTTGAAATTGCTGGAGAACAGGAGAAGCAGCGACGGAGACGATTCCGGTGTCAGATTGCTGACACATACAAAGTCATGGACTCTATTCACAATCTCTCTATTTTATGGGGGAGTTTTCATGATTTTTTTATGAAGAAAATTATATAAAATCCTAAACCAATAACATAATATTTTAATTTATCAACAATCCAAGATTCTTTTGTTTTAATTGAATAACACAAAACTTTTAATGACTCTATAAAACTCTTAATCCAATAACACTAGATTTATAAAGATTTTAGATTACTTTTTATAAATCTCAAACCAATAACACCAAATTGTAATAGAGTTTTTAAAAGTTTTGATTGAATAACAACATATTCTACATAACTTTTAAACTCATTAAAAGTCTTTCTAAATCCCAAACCAATAACACCCCCTACATCTCTTGGTTTTATGGTGGCCCGCATATTCGTATATAAAATTTTCAAAATTGTCAATTGTTAAAAAATCAAATCAATTTTGACAGAATTTGTAAACTGAAAAAAAAATCGTTAACTGATCAAAATTTACCTTTTTTCTAAGGTTATTTTTGACCTTTAACATCACTAGTTATGAGAGAGTGTCACGTGGCTAATGTTATTTTTTACTCTCGTGGTTAAAATCAGATTGGCCAAACACAAGCTAAGGGGGTGTTATTAGTTTGTTAATTTGTAAATCCATATAGAATTTGAAAATTTCTATTAATTATGAAATCAAGATATATGGATTTTGAAATAACATGTGTTTACCCATGGATTTGAATCCTTCTATTTTTCTCTTTCAATTCCATTCAATTCCATTTAAAACATAATTTGGATTCTCAAATCCAAAAACAAATGACTAAACGAATAACATAAGATTTTAACTAGTATTTATAAATCATAGAACCAATAACACATGAATTTAATTAGGATTTTAAAATCAATGATTGAATAACAAATGATTTTTGTTTGGATTTCTAATTCCATATAAATCTATGAACCAATAACCCCTCCTAAGAATCGGGAAGAAAGTTAGGGTTCCTTGGACATATCTCGTATCTGTGATTTGAGTGATGCCATCACCGATCTAACTTCCCCGGAACGTCAGAAGGTGGAGGAGACAACCAAGAGTTGAGGAATGGCGGGGTTAGGGATTTCGAATTATTTTCTATTCTCAATAGTTTGATGATTTTATTTCAAGAAATTGATTATCCGGAAGTGATTTTTCGCAGGGTTTTGAAACCGAGTTCTCGAAATTTCCCTACTGTTTTGATTGGCAATCATTGGATCTGGACGATAGAACAATGGTTGACGAGCCTCAAACTTGAAGAATAAGAGCCCAATCCGTTTGGGCCTGTGGATTTCAATTCTGCTTCTTAGGCTTGGTCTTTAGTTTGACGTTTTCTTGTTTTTGAATAAGTCTCCTCCTTTGTCGGAGAAAGACTCGGGTAGTTAGATCAGTGGCATAAGTTTCGTAGCTGCAGTTTCTTTTTCTTGTAAGGTCTATTTAATGGCCATTTGATTTCAATGAAAGGTATGAGTTTTCAAGTCTCTGTTTTTGCATTCTCTGTTTTGTTCTTGAGTGAGACTTTATAAAAGCAACAAGTGGTATCAGAGCTTGTCACGAGCTTGGTACAAGAGAGAAACGCTATGAGTGATAAAGAGTCTGCTATCATACCCAAATTCGATGGTGACTATGAGCATTGGGCAATGCTCATGGAGAATCTGATAAGGTCAAAGGAGTGGTGGGATGTAATCGAGACGGGAATTCCAAGGACGGAGAGAAACGTGATCCTCACCGGAGCGCAGAGGACAGAGCTGGCGGAGAAGACGGTGAAGGACCACAAAGTGAAGAACTATCTGTTTGCATCGATAGATAAGACAATCCTCAAGACGATCCTGCAGAAAGAGACGTCGAAGGACTTGTGGGAGTCCATGAAGAGGAAGTATCAAGGTAATGATCGGGTACAAAGTGCACAGCTTCAGAGATTACGTAGGAGCTTCGAAGTTCTTGAGATGAAGGTGGGAGAGACAATCACGGGCTATTTCTCCAGAGTGATGGAAGTCACTAACGATATGCGAAATTTAGGAGAAGATATGCCGGATTCTAAGGTGGTGGAGAAGATTCTCAGAACATTGGTCGAGAAGTTCACGTACGTTGTGTGTGCCATTGAAGAGTCCAACGACATCAAGGAGATGACAGTGGACGGGCTGCAAAGCTCTCTTATGGTACATGAGCAGAACCTAAAGAGGCACGATGTGGAAGAGAGGGTTTTGAAAGCTGAGACACAATGGAGACCGGATGGAGGAAGAGGTAGAGGAAGTCCAACCCAAGGAAGAGGAAGAGGAGGCTACCATGGAAGAGGACGTGGCTATGTGAATAGAGACACGGTGGAGTGTTTCAAATGCCACAAGATGGGACATTACAAGGCAGAATGTCCAAGCTGGGAGAAAGAGGCGAATTATGTGGAGATGGAGGAAGATCTACTTCTCATGGCACATGTAGAACAGATCAGTAAAGAGGAGAAACATGTCTGGTTTCTTGATTCTGGATGCAGCAACCACATGTGTGGTACGAAAGAGTGGTTTGTTGAGTTGGATTGTGGCTTTAAGCAGAATGTGAAGCTGGGAGATGATCGAAGAATGGTTGTAGAAGGAATCGGGAAACTGCGATTAGAAATTGATGGAAGGACTCAAGTGATCTCAGATGTGTATTACGTACCGGGATTGAAGAATAACCTCTTTAGTGTGGGTCAGCTGCAACAAAAAGGGTTAAGATTCATCATTGAGGGTGATGAGTGTGAGGTGTGGCACAAGCTGGAGAAGAAGATGGTGATGCATTCAACAATGACAAAGAATCGTATGTTTGTGATCTTTGCAGTCGTCAAGGAGGCTAGAGAGACTGGGGAACAGAGGTGTCTCCAAGCAAGTGAAAAAAAACCAGACAACGTGTGGCACAAGAGATTTGGACATCTCAACTATCAAGGTTTGAGAACGTTAGCTGAAAAAGAAATGGTAAATGGTTTACCAAAGTTTACTCATGGAGAAGAAGATACAAATTGCGATATTTGCTTGAAGGGAAAACAGATCCGAGATTCAATTCCAAAGGAGAGTGCGTGGAAATCAACTCAAGTGCTGCAGCTTGTTCACACGGACATATGTGGACCGATAAACCCTATATCTGTCAGCGGAAAAAGGTACATCCTCAATTTCATAGATGATTTTAGCCGGAAGTGTTGGACGTATCTGTTGTCGGAAAAATCAGAAACATTTCAGTTCTTTAAGGAGTTCAAGGCTGAAACCGAAAGAGAATCTGGGCAAAAGTTAGTTTGTTTGCGGTCAGATAGAGGAGGAGAATACAACTCAAGAGAGTTTGAAGAGTACTGCAAAGAATTTGGGATCAAAAGACAACTCACAGCAGCCTATACGCCCCAACAAAACGGAGTCGCAGAGAGAAAGAATCGGAGCGTGATGAACATGACACGGTGTATGCTGATGGAAAAGTCTGTACCAAGAAAATTCTGGCCCGAAGCTGTTCAGTATGCTGTATACATACTAAATAGGAGTCCATCGAAGGCCTTGAATGACATAACTCCAGAAGAGAAGTGGAGTAATTGGAAACCATCAGTTGAGCACTTGAGAATTTTTGGTAGTGTAGCTTACGCACTAGTTCCGTACCAGAAAAGAACCAAACTCGATGAGAGAAGCATCAAGTGTGTGGTGTTCGGTGTAAGCAAAGAGTCTAAAGCCTATCGTCTCTATAACCCAGCAACAGGAAAAATCATAATCAGTCGAGATGTTCACTTTGATGAAAGCAAAGGCTGGGAATGGGAAGATAAATCGCTGGAACAAGAGCTCGTTTGTGATGATTCTGATCATGAACCTGCAGGTGAAAGGAATCCAGAAATCGATCACATCGAGCAACCAGAACATGAGGAACCAGAAGAAGAAGAAACGGTGGAAGAAGTAGCTCATCAGATTCCTCAAGCAGTTGGAACAGGAGGTGGTAGACAAAGACAACAACCGGTTTGGATGAAAGATTATGTCATCCGAAACGCAAGGATACTCATAGCAGAAGAAGAAGAAGATGAGATGCTTGCGTTGTTTGTTGGATCAGATGATCCTGAATGCTTTGAAGACGCAGTGAAATTGGAAGTGTGGAAAAAAGCTATGGAAGCTGAGATAACATCCATAAAAGAGAACAACACATGGGAGTTAGTGGAATTACCTGAAGGAGCAAAGGTGATTGGGCTAAAGTGGATTTTCAAGACAAAGTTCAATGAGAAAGGAGAGATCGATAAGTTTAAGGCAAGACTAGTCGCAAAGGGCTATCATCAGAGATATGGAGTTGACTTCCATGAGGTATTTGCTCCAGTAGCTAAGTGGGATACAATCAGGATGATTCTCGCCTTAGCCGCAGAAAAGGAATGGGTGGTCTTTCAACTTGATGTAAAAAGTGCCTTCTTACATGGTGACTTGGAGGAAGATGTATTTGTTGAGCAGCCTAAGGGATTCGAAGTAGAAGAAGAATCCAGCAAGGTGTTCAAACTGAAGAAGGCATTATACGGACTGAAACAGGCTCCGAGAGCTTGGTATAGCCGTATAGAAGGTTACTTTGTTAGAGAAGGGTTCGGAAAATGCTACTGTGAACACACACTGTTCGTGAAGAAGGAGGGAAGTGACGTTTTGATAGTAAGTGTCTATGTGGATGATCTTATTTACACAGGAAGCTCGCTGGATATGATTGAGGGATTCAAAAAATCGATGATGGAGGAATTCTCAATGACTGATTTGGGAAGAATGAAGTACTTCTTGGGAGTTGAAGTCATACAAGATGAAAGAGGTATTTTCATCAACCAAAAAAAATATGCTGCAGAAATCATTGAGAAGTATGGAATGGAGAGAAGTAACTCAGTCAAGAATCCGATTGTGCCTGGGCAGAAGTTGACAAAGGCGGGAGCGGGTGATCCGGTTGATTCAACCGAGTTCAAGCAGCTTATTGGAAGCTTGAGGTACCTAACGACCACACGACCAGATCTAATTTACTCTGTAAATCTAGTTAGTAGGTACATGGAAAGTCCAACTGAGCAGCACTTGCTTGCGGCAAAGAGAATTTTGAGATATGTTCAGGGGACGCAAGATCTCGGGATTCAGTACAAACGTGGAGGTGCTACAGAGTTAATTGGGTTTGTTGATAGTGACTATGCCGGTGATGTTGATGACAGGAAAAGCACTTCTGGTTTTGTGTTCATGTTAGGAGGAGGAGCAATTGCTTGGGCATCTAAGAAACAACCAATCGTAACATTATCAACTACGGAGGCTGAGTTTGTATCAGCTGCGTTTGGTGCGTGTCAAGCGATCTGGCTCAGAAATGTTCTTGAGGAGATTGGTTGCAGACAAGAAGAAGGTACACTCGTGTTCTGTGACAACAGTTCCACCATAAAATTGTCAAAGAATCCTGTGCTGCACGGAAGGAGCAAGCACATCCATGTGAGGTACCATTTTCTCAGAGAACAGGTGAAAGAAGGAACCATTAGACTTGATTACTGTTCTACCAATGATCAAGTTGCAGACATAATGACCAAGGCTGTGAAACGAGAGGTGTTTGAAGAGCTCCGGGGAAGAATGGGAGTAAGTATCAGAGAAGAGTAAACTGAAAGGAAGAGAAGTGTTTCAGTTTACGGGAGGGAATGAAGAATAAGAGCCCAATCCGTTTGGGCCTGTGGATTTCAATTCTGCTTCTTAGGCTTGGTCTTTAGTTTGACGTTTTCTTGTTTTTGAATAAGTCTCCTCCTTTGTCGGAGAAAGACTCGGGTAGTTAGATCAGTGGCATAAGTTTCGTAGCTGCAGTTTCTTTTTCTTGTAAGGTCTATTTAATGGCCATTTGATTTCAATGAAAGGTATGAGTTTTCAAGTCTCTGTTTTTGCATTCTCTGTTTTGTTCTTGAGTGAGACTTTATAAAAGCAACAAAACTAACAGAGACTTTATGGCCATGTTGTCCAATCGAGCTCTCACCGAGTACAACGTGGACAATGTTAGGGCTTGTTTTGTTGAAATACTTTTGGTCATGAATGTGCATATGACTCTGTTTCGAAATTTGCTTGCTTTTTTTTGTGTTGTTGTTTTTTGGTGTGGTGGTAGGGAACAAATCTGGAATTGAGCAAGGTTTTGAGGGTAAACTTTCATCAATCTGCTGGAATTACTTTCTACATATCATTCGAAGTCAACGATCCGTCTGATAAATAATCAGACAAAACCATATCGAGCAGTGGTATACAACATGGCCAGGGATATTAGATTACGCTCTTGCAAGCCTAAACCACCCAATTCTTGAACTTTTGAGAGGTTTGTTATATCTCCACATCTATGTATTAGTTAAGCCCATATTTACATGATGACATAGAATTTGAATATTGATCAAGAATAGCTTGTTATGATTTATGAAATTTTCCAATGCCCGTATGGTGTCTTTGATTAAAAGCTAGCTTGAGTTATATATTTGAAATATAAATTCGATCTCAATGTGAATATATAAAGGAGTCTTGGTCTTTTGACTGAGTTTGTCACACTCAAGAGTCAATTACATATGCATGAGCAACTGCTAGAGGCATGTCGTCCTACGTATACATACTGATAGGATGTTAGTTATAAATAAAAGTAAACAAGAAGAAGAAGATATGAATTCAAAGCCCATTTAATTAAGCAAAATCAAACAATAGTTGGCCATTAGCAATGAGATTCTTAATACCAAAAAACAAAAGCTTGACTATCATTGCTCGAGGAAGTTGCAATCTCGAGATCAGCAACCATACTATGTAAGGACAAAGTTTCAACCATGCCAACCATGCCATTTAAAAAAAATAAAAAAAAAATTGAATGATAGAAAAAAATGCGTTAGTTGTACTCTTGGTGACATGATTGTTGGCTTTGCCATTTTGTTATAATTTATAAATAACTTGAAAACTAGAATAATGTCCCCGATTATGCTAGATTTTAAAAAATAGTTAAACACTTGTCAACAAAACAAAGTTATGCAGAATAATATGATACACTCTGTGTCATAAGAGTGCCACGTGGCTATCCGATCTTGATCTTGAAGAAAATTAGGGTTCTAGTGATGACTTCCCCGAAGGAAGCGTCAGAAGATGGAGGAGAGAATCTGCGATGACAGTGATTCGGATAATTCCGAAGACGGCACACCGGAGGAAATTCAATTGTTCTATGATGAGTGGGATAAAAGCCAGGTTTTGAAATTTCTTCTGTTTCTCTTGGTTTTGTTGCTTTTACATGATTCAAAACTGATTCTCCCGAGAGATATGCAGGGTTTTGAAATCGACTTCTCCAAACTTAACTTCTGTTTCGATTGGAAAGCATTGGATCTTGACGACAGCACAATGGTTGACGAGCCTGAAACAAACAGAGATTTTATCGCCATGTTATCCAATCAGGCTCTCACCAAGCACAACGCAGACAATGTAAGGAAACATTTTTTTCATGAATCTATGACGACTATGTTCGAAATTTGATTTGTTTTGGTGGTAGGGAACTAGTCTGGAATTGGGCAAGGTTTTGAGGGCAAACTTTCATCCATCTGCTGGAATTACTCTCTACATCTCTTTCCAAGTCAATGATCTGTCTGATGCTAATCGTCAGACAAAGCCCTATCGAGCAGTGGTTCGCTACCTGCCTGGAGATATTGAAGTATGTTCTTGCAAGCCTAAACCCTCTTCTTGAATTCTGCCAAGTTTGTGTTGCTAAATATAATTAAGTTTCGCTTGCTTTATAGTGATTATTTACTATAGAGATGATAAGAGTTTGAACAATGTCTGAGATTCGAAGATTAGTAAATGATTCCTCGAACAATGTCTGACTACCATTAATACTATAACCAGACTTGGCTACAGATTTTTTTTTTGTTATCAACTTATGTTTTGTGCAACTATGTGTATTTTTTTTTTCTTTTTTTCTTTTTTCTTTTGCAAGTATGTTAAAACACTAGTTGTATGATCTGCCGCTCTCATTTCTCCAAGTGTCTACACTAATTGTATGCAAATATTATAGGAATATTGAGTGAGAGAACTTAGTTATTCATATTAACGACAAATTAGATACGACGTAGCAATGGATAAATTTGGATGTTATGTCACACTATTACGGTTGTGATGGCCACCAATTATCTCTAGCCATTTGTCTCATTTGGATAAAAATTGTTTTCAAAATTTTTGCATCTGTTTAATTGTTTTCAAACAAAAAACTTCAAATACTTACACAATTCATTCGAGTGAAAATGTCTTTATGTCGTATTTTTGTTTTCTCGAAGAGAGAGTTGATGTGTAAAAGATAAGATCCAGTGAGAAATTGTGTGTCTCGTGCGTTCATAAAGCAGCTAGTGTAGCTAAGATATGATAGAGACCATTACTCAAATTGTCGGTTGATTAAACGATTTATGTAAGAAGTTAAGTTGAAATTGAACAAATTTTAGAGTTGAGTTTTTCTATCACAAAATATATTACATGACCTTATTTTGATGTAGATTTATAAGATAATTAAGAACAAGGAACGATATAAAAAAAAAAAAAACCAATTCATAAAGTTAGGGTTTGTTTCCATCTCCTTTTCGTTTCAGCGATGTTATCTCCGATTGAGAATGAGAGATCGGAACTTCCTTCCCCTAAGAAGCTGAAGTTAGAGGAGCCAGCCAACGATGAACCTCGGTTCCCTAATTATGATTCGGATGATTTGGAAACTTTGTCAGATGATTTTCGACTGTTAGATGAAGAGTGGGGCAAGACCGGGGTTTGTAATCTCCCTCTTGAATTTTTGATTCATTAATTTTGATTTATGGTGGTTTTACATTCGGTTGCGGAGCTGTGAATCTCGACGACTCTGCGAGCCTCATGAAACCAACAGAGATTTGCTCAACAGGTTGTCAAACATGGCTATCTCCTTCTACAACGAAAAGACGGTTAGTAATCTGATGAATCAATTGACACTACAAGAAATATCCACATTGATAGCACATGAAGATAGCTCATTTTCCGTAACTGCTATAAAAGATGAATGTTTTATTTTGATTACTATATAATAGCATTGAAATAATACTAAGATAAAAAATCATTAAGCGGGAAGCTAAAATAACATATTCTGCCAATACTTAAACAAAAAAAATACACTTAAGAGCCGCATATCTCAGATCTAAAATTTTTTGTGCCATCATATATACCAAAGCCAAAAAAATTATCTTTCTTTGTACGACCAAAAAAAAAAAACCTAGATCTCTTCATAGACTCCACGAAACTCTTCGGCCTCATTTCGCCTCCATTCCTTTTTTTTTTTTTTTTTTTTTTTTTTTTTTATCATTTTTCCTTTAGTCTCAGGTGATTCGTCGCCATCACCATTTGGAGAAAAATCGTCTCCTCTCATCCCAAAACCCTAGCCGCCGATGTCGTCGCTGATTCTCCTCGTCGATTAATTTCGTTTAGTCGTTGTCCCCTTACTCGGAAAAAGTTAGGGTTATGGATTCCGAATTAGCAACCATGGAAGAGATCACCAATGGAGTGAACAACATGAACTTGGCCGTTGATTCCCAGAAGAAAAGTCGTATTCAGATTTCAAACACCAAGAAACGATTGTTCTTCTACGTCAATCTCGCCAAGGTACATAGTTTAATTCGATTGCTTTGAAAGTTCTTGACTCTTTCGGGTCGAGAGGATATTAGTGTGAATCAAGTCCAGAAGCTCAATTTTTTCTGGAAATCTATATATACTTCTATATGATTGTACTGTTTCAATTAGGAAGAGCCAATCTGTTTCTCTATGAGTATTTTAGCTTATTCTCGTGTTTGGGTTTTTTTAGGGATTAGGTTTTTGTGGTTATTACTTGTGTTTTTGATGTAAGTGAGTTTTTGTTGTTTGGATTTGTTAAGAGGTATATGCAGCAAACAATGATGTCGAACTCTCTGCCCTTGGAATGGGTATGTATGATCTTAACCTCTCTTTTTTTATTCTTCTGTATATATTCTATTGATACTGTAATGTGTATTTTTATTTCAGTATTCTCTGATTCTTGACTTGATTAAGCTAATTTTCTCAGAATACATTGTTTGTTGGTGATACTTACTCTTCTCATATGCAAATCAACCTTCTTCTCAATTTATTAATTTGGTCTTGGTTTTACAGATTGAAATTACGCTTGCAAAGTCAGAGAAGTTTGATGAACTAATGGTTGCAGCCAATGTAGAAAAAGAAGTTACAGAAGCTCAGGTGCGGAACTGAAAATAGCTATTACTATTTTGGTTATGTGATGCTTATTTTATAAAGGGGCTTTATTTGTTTTATTTCATTAATGCTTTAGCTGCCAAGATTGAGAATGTAGGAATTAACTTTTAGTGTGAATGTCGTTGAAAGGTATAAGCTTTACTATTGCATAATTCAAACTTTATTTTCTTTCTTTATTAGCTCTCTGCTTATGGTTGATTTTTTTTTTCTTTGTATTTCAAAGCTGTTATAACCCCTTAGCAAAGTGAGCAGCTGAAAAGAGTGGTTTTGCTACAAGTAAGATATGTTCTTTCTATGACTTTAAGTGTCAATGTCTGTGATTGATATATTACTTTCTAAGTTTGAGTTTAATTTTCCTAAAGATCTTTGTTTTGTTCAATTAAGTTTGTTTGCTTCATACAAAATGAGAAGGAAGGTGTTTAGGAGAAGGAGCTTGCATGTGGTTGCAGGAGCTTAAGTGGTAAGACGTTTCTTCAAGTTTTAAACTCCATATTAGCTTAATTCTAAGGCTATCATGATTATGTTCAAACTAACCAAGTACGTAGTATACATATGTGTATGTTTGGTAGATGTATTCCCATGTGTCGATTTTTTTTTTCATCTTAGTCAATAAGAGTTCTAAGATGGTGTCTTCTATCCCCTTGTTCTTTTGTTTCATGTAGCATATCGAAGGGAGTACTAATAGGAACAATTGTTCAAATTGAAGTTTTATGTGTTCTACTTTTGATGAGGAGGCGAAATAGATAGATGAGAAGAAATTGAAGAGATCGAAGTTTGTCTCTGTCCTTATGATGTTAGTTTTATTGTTTAAGACTTATGATGTTAGTATAAGACTTGGTTGATGTTCTGTAAGACTTGTTTGGCTAATTGGTTAATGTAATATTACTTGTTGATGATTTATAAAATTTATAAAAAGTAAATTTTACAAAATTGGGTTCCAATATAAAATTTATTCTATATAATAAATTAAATTTATATAACAAAAAAATGTTATGATATTATATAAAACAACATTAAACGGGTGTTAAAATAAAGTATAGTATAGCATTCGATTAATGCTATAATATGAAAATGCTATCGTATATGAGGGTCTATCATAGCATGCTAAAAACGTCATCGTATATGGGGGGTCTACCATAACAGGGGCATAAGATAGCGTTTATGAAAACGCTATTGATGACATATAATAGCTCTTCTCTCTTGCTAATAATGTAGATATTTCTTGTAGTGTGACGTTTGCTCTTGTTTGCTGATGAATCTCTTAATTAACGTATATATATTAAGTGTGTTGGTTATGGTGATGCATGATTGTAGGATTCAAGTTTGGAACTTGTCAAGGTTTTGAGAGCAAATTTTCACCCATCTGCTGCAATCACGCTCTACATCACGTTCGAAGCCAATGATCCTAAAGATGGTAACCAGACAAAACGTTACCAAGCAGTGGTCCTCTACTTGTCCTTTGATATCCAAGTATGCTCTTGCAAGCCTAAACCATCTTCTTGAATTTTTAGAGATGTGTTAGTTAAGCCCAATTTTTACATGATGATGAATATTATAAAGAATAGCTTGTTATGGATTGCTCATGTTTTGCAACGTGAGTTTTGTGAATGTGCTATTTTAGATTTGCAACATTTTCCAAGCGACCATAATAACCTTTGTGATCACATAATTTGTGAAGAAGATGTGGCATGAGATACTTTTGAATTAACAAACAAACGACAAAATACTTCGTGAATTCGTGTTATGTCCACTACAGAAAAAGTGAATTTGCGGTGGATATATAGGTTTCATATCAAAAGTGTAGTATATTAGAAAGCAGAAATCCCAAAAATAACACATAATTTGGTGCAGTTAAACGAAAAATTAAGTAAAAGTAAGCATATCAAAGTGTATTTATTAGTTTATATAAAGAATAAATTAATTAAGTGAAACATTAAGAAGATACAATATAATTTCTTATTTCTCTCGTTATTTCAAGCCAGAAAAACTATAAAAATTTCGAAATCTATCAAGGTAAATTGGGGAAATCAAAACTATAAATACAATTGGAATCTTATTCTCTCATCCTCATTCCTCAACACTACAAAAAAAAACACAAATCTTGAATCTCAAATTTCACAGTCTTGATGTCACAAAAAACCAATATGGTGAAGATGAGGAACAAAAATAGGGAGGGAAACACAATGATGATGAAGAGGGAGATATTATTACTTTTGAGAATAGTTTTGTATTTAACGGTTGTTATCTTTTTTTTTTTTTTTTTTTTTTGAGATTGAGAGTAATCGATCATTAGATTCAAGCGATGCCTACTTTGGCGCCACTTGTTGACCATTATGATTTTGATGAGTGGCTTTTACTTTCTGCAAAATTATTTGATTCTCTTTTTTTACACAACACATACGAGATCAAATTTTACATTTCGAAATTTGATTTTATTTACAAGTTTTTTTTTATTTTACTTGGTTTGGAATTTTGTCTTAGGGAGCTTCACAAAACTCATAAGAGCATCTTTATCAATAGGTTTTTAAAAATATCACAAGAACTATCAAAATATTATATTAAACAAAATAATAATAAAAAAATAAGAAAGTATGCTTAAAATAAGAAAAATGGTTCTTAGCTAAGAGTTTTTGGATCAACTCTCTCCTTTTTTAAGAGTCTCTCTAATATTTAAACATTATTTTGTTATCAAAATTGTTTGGAAGGCCCAAAAGAGAAAAAGCAATTATAAATACCCTCTTCAGACCTAAATCCCTAAAACGGTTATCGAGTCTCGCTCTTGTCGAACAAATTTTAGCCATGTACTCATCCACCATGGTAATCTTCTTCTTACTCATGGCTTTTCTGATTCACTCTGGTTTCTTATCTTTGTTTCTCAATTGATGGTTTCTTCACAAGTTTGTGAGAAAATTACTTCAAGTTAGTTAGTAGTGTTTCTGATTTGATCTCTTGTACTTTTTTAGGTTCCGAAACGGAATAATATTCCAAAACTGAGGTAAATTGAGAAATTGGTATGTGTAAGATGATGCATGTTTTCAGATGTCACGTTGATAGTATTATTATTGCAGTGACGTTGGGAGGATCAAGGTTACGGGATATGACACTGGTCTTCCTCTTGATGATGTCTACACGGCGTTGGCAGAACATTTCTCTTCATGTGGAGAGATCTGGGAGATTTATGTTCCCTTAAAATTTGATGAGACTAAGACGAGTCTCAACAGGTTTTGGTGGCTTCTTCCTCCTCCATTTCTTTCCAATTCATCAGCTCAAGTTAAATATCAGCTCACTTGTTGTTGTTGTTGTTGTTGTTATTTCAGTCATGGTGTTATTTGTTTACTGGGGGGACAAGACGCAGTAGATAAGGCCTTGCAACTTACTGGAAGTAACGTGGGAGGATGGAATGTCTCTGTTGAGGCTTATCCGTATCCGGCAAACGCAAACGAGTAAACACTGATTTCTTTAAAAAATAAGATTTGTTGATAATAATAATGTTTATCATCTTCGGCAATATCCTATTACTGCAGTAGGGTTATTGTAATAGTTGAAGGATATGACACTTCGCTTAGGAAGAGTCAAATCTCCAGGGCTTTGGTTAAACTTTTCTCTCCATATGGAACTATCAGACGCCTCTATTTTATCAAGAAGAGGTTTGTGGCTTCTTTCTCCCATGTTACCCAACTTTCAATTTATTTAAAATTACTCTTTAACGACGACAGACTTGTGAATTTTGTTGATAATTTTTCAGCTCAGTTAGAGCTTCTGTTCACGGAAAAGACGTAGCTGATACCGTGACTCAACTTAATGGGAGCTACATGCGAGGACGCAAATTAGCTGTTTGGGTGACTGCCAAACCGGAAATACCTATACGCCTCATTCGCCGCCGCGTCAATTTCAGTAAACCTATTCCTCCTCTCCAAGATCCTTCTGCCATGGATGCAGCCATTCCAAAAAGCAGGTAAATTTATTTTCTGACAAACTTTTCTATCCTTCTCCAGTCACTTTTGTATCCTATAACCACAATTCAAATATTACTGTAAAATTTAGCGCTTGAGGTTTTTTTAGCTACTTGACTTTGCCTTAAAACTGAATATTATTTAACTTCTTTGTTCTTTTTGGGATAATCAAATGTAGTCATGTCATTTGGGATATATCAGTTAGTACATTTGTTATTGGTATTCGATATTAATTATTAGCTCATAAGTAAATGGTTCTTTCAAATTCTTTCCCATCTTATAAATTTCTATGCTCTTTTTTTTTTGGTATTATTGCAGAAGTGAAACCTCCATGGCCCCATCTGAATCTGCTAAGAAGAATGAGAAGATAAGTGAGGAAGCTACAGTGGAGAGTAAAGCCTTTTCTAGTAGTGTTGAGAAGCAAACGCCTGACCTAGATGGCCTCATTGTTAAAGAGTTATGCATGGGAAACCCCAACGGCAAGAAAGCTGAGCCTGGCAAAAGGGTATGAACATTTAGTCCTAAACTGTTGGAGTTTTTGTGCAAATATTTGTTGGAGGTCAATCTATTGTCTCTGAGTGCAGGTAAGTGTCCATTATACTGGAAAGCTTCAAGGGAATGGGAAGATTTTCGATTCCACCGTTGGAAAATCACGTTATAAGTTTCGTCTAGGTTGGTATTATAACTTGATGCGAAAGTAAGAGCTTTATTAGTGTGTGAGTGGTACTTGGATACTTATGTGCTTGCTGTTACACATACAGGTGCTGGAAAAGTCATTAAGGGATTGGATGTTGGCGTCAATGGTAACCTAGCTAGTTTCTTACTGGTATTTCTTCACTAAATATGGTCAAATGGTGTTGTTTTGATCTCTTTTTGTAAATTTCAAAGGAATGCGTGTTGGTGGCAAAAGAATGCTTACAATTCCTCCAGCAATGGGGTAAAGCCTTTGCAAATCATCTCTTATCTATCTTTCTTTGGTAATGTGATGTTCTATTTTAAGCTTTTTTAATGAGAGATGATAAAATTGTCTGGCCTACAGCTATGGTGCGGAAGGTGCTGGTAGCATTCCTCCTTACTCTTGGCTGGTCTTTGATGTCGAGCTGCTTAATGTTAAATAAAGCTGTCCTCTAATCCCTCGAGACCTTCCTAAGACTGAATCCAATTAAAGCTTGCTGACGTGGCGGAAGTTTGTATATATAGTCTTTAAATAAGCTGATGTGGCTCAATTTGCTGACATGGCAACACGAAAAAGACTCTCAACTAAACTGATGTGGATGGTTTGAGAGGCTATGAGTTCCTTTTATTAGTAGTAGATTTTATATGATTATCTCACAAGTAAAGATGTCTTCATGCGTGTTACAATAATGGTTCTTTCAAACTTTTTCGTATCTTATAAATTTCTCAGTTTTTTTTTTTTTGGTATTATTACAGTAGTGAAAGCTCCAAAACACCAGACAAATCTTCTAAGAAGAAAAAGGAAGTCAATTGAAGAAGTTAGATTAACTTTTAGTTAGATTAACTTTTAGTTTAATATATATATATATATATATATATATATATATATATATATATATATATATATATATATATATATATATATTCAACGCCCAATCGTTCGTTTTTTAAATATATATACGAACTCATATAATTTAGGTTAATGATAAAAACAAATAAAAACTAAAAGTTTCGTCTGAGGGTTGGTTCTCTTGTGATTTTTAAAAGTTTAGAACCATTTGATGTAATGATAATTTTACATAACATGAAAGGCAAAATACGTATTGCCGTTTCTGCAAAACACCACTAACTCTTTCTTTCAAAAGTTTGTCTGAGGGTTGGACAAAGGACTGAGGGACATTGGAACAGAGAGCTTCAAGAAACTCATAAGATTCTTAATAGGAAAAAAAAAAATTTAAGACACGAAAACATGAAAAGGGTACTACTGTATCTGTATGTGTTGGTAAAAAGTCCGTCGAAGGACCATATGGGCCTTAGAGTCCAGGCCAGAACTAAATTCAAGGCCCAAAAGAAAAAAGCAATTATAAATACCAGACCTAAATTGATAAATCTGTAAAAGGGTTAGCCATGTACTCATCCACCATGGTAATCTTCTTCTTACTCTACTCTTATGGCTTTTCTGATACACTCTGGTTTCTTATCTTTGTTTCTCAATTGATGGTTTCTTCACAAGTTTGTGAGAAAATTACTTCAAGTTAGTTAGTAGTGTTTCTGATTTGATCTCTTGTACTTTTTAGGTTCCGAAACGGAATAACATTCCAAAACTGAGGTAAATTGAGAAATTGGCATGTGTAAGATGATGCATGTTTTCAGATGTCACGTTGATAGTATTATTATTGCAGTGACGTTGGGAGGATTAAGGTTACGGGATATGACACTGGTCTTCCTCTTGATGATGTCTACACGGCGTTGGCAGAACATTTCTCTTCATGTGGAGAGATCTGGGAGATTTATATTCCCTTAAAATTTGATGAGACTAAGACGAGTCTCAACAGGTTTTGGTGGCTTCTTCCTCCTCCATTTCTTTCCAATTCATCAGCTCAAGTTAAATATCAGCTCACTTGTTGTTGTTGTTGTTGTTGTTATTTCAGTCATGGTGTTATGTGTTTACTGGGGGGACAAGACGCAGTAGAGAAGGCCTTGCAACTTACTGGAAGTAACGTGGGAGGATGGAATGTCTCTGTTGAGGCTTATCCGTATCCGGCAAACGCAAACGAGTAAACACTGATTTCTTTAAAAAATAAGATTTGTTGATAATAATAATGTTTATCATCTTCGGCAATATCCTATTACTGCAGTAGGGTTATTGTAATAGTTGAAGGATATGACACTTCGCTTAGGAAGAGTCAAATCTCCAGGGCTTTGGTTAAACTTTTCTCTCCATATGGAACTATCACACGCCTCTCTTTTTTCAAGAAGAGGTTTGTGGCTTCTTTCTAACATGTTTCCCAACTTTCAATTTATTTAAAATTACTTTTTAACGACGACAGACTTGTGTATTTTGTTGATAATTTTTCAGCTCAGTTACAGCTATTGTTCACGGAAAAGACGTAGCTGATACCGTGACTCAACTTAATGGGAGCTACATGCGAGGACGCAAATTAGCTGTTTGGGTGACTGCCAAACCGGAAATACCTATACGCCTCATTCGCCGCCGCGTCAATTTCAGTAAACCTATTCCTCCTCTCCAAGATCCTTCTGCCATGGATGCAGCCATTCCAAAAAGCAGGTAAATTTATTTTCTGACAAACTTTTCTATCCTTCTCCAGTCACTTTTGTATCCTATAACCACAATTCAAATATTACTGTAAAATTTAGCTTTTCTTATTGAAATGGTTTTAACTAAATTCCTTCATATATAAGATCCTCCGGCATACTCTTTTCAAAACAATGAATAGAAGTCAGCTTGAGGTTTCCTTTGGCTACTTGACTTCAGTCCATTCCTTTGCCTTAAAACTGAATATTATTTAACTACTTTGTTCTTTTTGGGATAATCAAAAGTAGTCATGTCATTTGGGATATATCAGTTAGTACATTTGTTATTGGTATTCGATATTAATTATTAGCTCACACGTAAATGGTTCTTTCAAATTCTTTCCCATCTTATAAATTTCTATGCTCTTTTCTTTTGGTATTATTGCAGGAGTGAAAGCTCCATGGCCCCATCTGAATCTGCTAAGAAGAAAGAGAAGATAAGTGAGGAAGCTACAGTGGAGTATAAAGCCATTTCTACTAGTGTTGAGAAGCAAACGCCTGACCCAGATGAGCTCAATGTTGACGACTTGTGTATGGGCAACCCCAACGGCAAGAAAGCTGGTCCTGGCAAAAGGGTATGCGGTCCTAAATTTCTTACATGATTACTTGCAATGTCATAGATTATGCAACAAGTGGCAGTGTGGTAAGAATGTGCACATTTAAAGAATTGACATTGGATAAGAATCGAACAAACTAGTGCCTTACTTATATTGGATAGAAAGTTAACAAACAAATGTCTGATAAGAGATGTCAATGTTGGGGCTCATTCTCTTTTCTCTGAGTGCAGGTTACTGTCCATTATACTGGAAAGCTTCATGAAAATGGGAAGATTTTCGATTCCACTGTTGGAAAATCTCCTTATAAGTTTCGTCTAGGTTGGTATTATAACTAGATTGCGAAAAGAAGAGCTTTATTAGTCTGTGAGTATACTTATCTGCTTGTTGTTACATGCATGCAGGTGTTGGAAAAGTCATTAAGGGATTGGATGTTGGTGTTAATGGTAATCTAGCTACTTTCTTACTTCTTTTTTTATTTTTCTCACTCTCTCTATATATAATGTTCATCTAGAATGTTGTTTTTATCTCTTTTCTTTTTTGAATATTTTGAAGGAATGTATGTTGGTGGCAAAAGAAAGCTTACCATTCCTCCAGCATTCGGGTAAATTAAAGCCTTTGCAAATCATTTTTGATATTATTTTTTTCATAAATGTGATGTTTTTATTTTAACCTTATTTCTTAAAGATAGATAATAATATTGTCTGGCTCCCAGGTATGGTAGGTATGGTGCGGAAGTTGCTGGTACCAAGATTCCTCCTGACGCTTGGCTGGTGTTTGATGTCGAACTGCTTAATGTTCTTTAAAACTTCTCTCCAAGGAAAGCTTTCCTATGATTTGATGAGTTTTTTTAGGTGTGTTTTTACCTTTGTGAGTTTTCTTGCTTTATTGTCCTGACCTATTTATACTTATGAAAAAATAATCATAGTTTGTGGAATAAAATTTGAAGTACCTTTTTTAGTATTGAGTGTATTCGAATTATCTATATATATATAGAGGGAGAGCAATGTACTGTAGTTTATTAGTTGAAACAATTTGTTAAAAAAAAAAAAATTATCTTCTTAGTGTTAGATTTAAAGTACTGTTAATGCCTTAATGGGAGTATTCGTTTTTAGCCATAAAAAGAAATAAGCAATATAATATTGTGTTTTCTCCTATAATTTTAATTTACGCAACTTTATTGGTATTTTTTCTTAGTATTTTTCTTAATTAATTAAAAAAACAAGTAAACTCGGTTTTCAGGAGTGGGAAGTTTACTTAGAGGCGAAAGGCAAAAAATCGTTGACTATCCAGATATTTTCAGTCCCCATGCGTTTTACCGATCTGGGATATATTTTTTTCTCTCTTACGAGTGTTACTTATGATGATGGCACAGTGTATGTAAATCATATTAAGTTTGCAACAGGATTTTGCAGCTGCTTTTTTTAGCTTCGTTCGGCAACTAATTTAGCTGTATTAATGTACAACAATGTAATTAGAAATAATAACAACAAAATATTGCTTACCCTTTGGGACTAGATAGATTAAGATTATCCCCCACACTGTTTCCATTACTTCATTTAATTTCCTCCCTGTGACAATAGTCATGTATATGTTTAACAATCTGCAACTTTAAAAAAGGAACAAACAGCAGACAAAGATCCCAAAAAAAAAAAATACATGTATTAGAAGACCCAAGCAATTGTTTAGGATATGATTGATAGCTCATGTGGAATGTTACCTTTAAAGCAAAAGTAACTAGTGTCGCCCTTTTACCAAAAAAAAAAAAAAAAAAAACTAGTGTCGCCCTCCTGGGCAGCAAACGAATGCTGAGGGTATATGTGCATATCATGATTATAACAACTTTCAAATGGACGGGGATCTTACAAATCCGAGCGGTTGGGCGGAGGAACCGCTGATTTTATCAATGGTCTTAGCAAGTCCATTATAGTTGCAAAATTATGGACGCTTCCATGGCTCACTGGTAATGAAACATATGCATCATGAAGTCTATTCAAGGACAATTCTTAAACCAGAGATAGTTTGAGACTGCCGTTTTTTTTAAGTTCAGCAGGTTAAAGCCTTTTTGCAATGTCCCCAAGATGATTTAATATGTTTAAAATAGAATATCTAAGCTGCTCTCACGAGACTAGAAGAGGAATGATGTTACTAAAATATCAAACTCAAGACATTGGACACAACAGTTTCTAATTTCGATTCAAACCTTGACTGTATATTTTTTTGTCAACCAACAAGTTTGGAGATTTTAGATCTCTATGCACAATTGGAGGATTGCAGTTGTGAAGATAATTCATTCCCTTAGCCTGCATCAGATAACTGGAAAATAAATTCTATGTGAAGAAACACCAAGATCAGAAAGCAATCAACTTAATACGCACCCATACATGATACATGTGACTAAAGAAAATCAGACATACCACATCATGAGCCATACTCAGGCGACGTCTCTCATCTAATTTCTTTCTAATTAGCTCTGTTTGAAAGAAAGCATGGTATTAGCGTCATTAAGACTAAAGTTCTACACTCAACATATACAAATACAACCTTCAAAATCTAGGCAGCTATATACCTTGACAAATATTCTGTCACTATTGACAAATTTGGAGGTTGAGTGACCGCACCCATGAAGAGAACAATGTTAGGGTGGCGAAGGCGCTTCATTATCGCAACCTGACAGCGAATCAAGATCATGGAAGGATTTGTACACCAAGTCTATTACTAAAAACAAGATCAAATTTTAGTTTTGCACCTCTCTCAAGAACTCATTGACGCGCTCAGCATGGAAGTCTTGCTCCATGAGAATTTTCACAGCAACATACTGAAATTGATAGAGAATATTACTGCAATAATCAAAAACGGAATTCTTCTAGTGATAAATTGGAAAATTCGAACAGGAAGACAAATTTATGATATGAAGACAAGTATCTAACTTTGGGACACTTTTTTGTCGAAGTTTAATTTATGACAGTCACGGATATAATGATTTTGTCTTTTTTAACACCAAAGAGATCAAAAGTAACAACCAAATTTTTAGAGCGTAAAAAAGTCAGCTGTGTAAGATTCTGACAAAAAAAGTTCTTACCATGCCAAAGGAACCTGAAAGAGCAGTAGCTCAAATTAGAGTGGAAGGATTAAGGCAACATAGAAGAATGTAATCTCAAAATGGGTAGCACTTTTTTTCCTTATTAAGTTCAAGAACAGAGTACGAAGGAAAAGCACTTACTCAAGAATTACACATTTCTTTGCGTTTATAGACCAAATCATTAATTTTTCCGTAAAATTATTACCTGCTCCAATATTTTTACTGACTACTTAACATATTACACATTTCTTTACTGACTACTTAACATATTTTTAAATTGTTATTGGGCCATTTGAACAAAACTTATGCTCTTCGGAAAATCACAAGATTTTTTTTTTTGGTAGGATCGGAAAATCACAAGATTATAATCACGTTTGTTAACATTTTTTGTTAATCACAAGATTATAATAGTAATCTCAAGAACATTTTATTTCTGAATTTTTTTTGTTTAAGTTAAACTTTGCTTATCACATTAAATTATATACATTTGGTAATCCTTATTGCCAATGCCACTATATATGTGAATTTACTTTATGTACAAGGAACAAGATAATTAATGATTTGAACCATTTTTCTTTATATTTATGAATTTAGGGTCACTTGAATTGGTAAACAGCTTCGAAGTTAAGAAAAGATATGAACCTCCTCCTTGCCGGAGTCAAGAATTGGAAAAAGTTGTTAGTGTGAGTAAATTGCTAGTAAGAATTTTGAAACACTCTTTGCAGCATATATTGAAGATTATTATTCGAATCGTTGATTACGTAGAAAATGCCAAAGAAGATTAGTCACTCCCATGAAATGATGGGACAAATTTAAACATAGAATATTACCAAGAAAAAAATAAGAAAATTAATCGTAACCGTAAGTAATCCACGTGTGACGTATCTTAGTCATTCAATGGCGAATGAATCAATGAAATACAATTTGATTTAACAATGATAGTCGCCTCTTCAAAGTTTTAGTTTTGAGTCTGATTGAGGAGAGACCGAAATGAAGTGTTTACATAGCAGTTTAGGTAAACCGCCTGACGTTTGAATATAATGTTATGTTTGAAAAATGCTTTTTGTGGTAGTGAATGAAATATACAAAAATGATTAAGATGTTGGTTGTTGTCACTGCATCGTTTATTTGCATCCTAGTTTTGCACTTACATGTAGAATATTAATATTCATGTATATATTTACAAATTACAATCATAATAACATTAGCATGTATATTAACATATATAGATTAGAATAATAATCACGATAATAATAATACGATAATTCTGATAGTGGTTTGGCTCCAATATTGTAGCTTCTACGTGTAAAGGTATCTCAAGTCATAAGATTCCTAAGCTTTCTAATTATGTAACATTTTCCAACCCGGACAAGGTCAACCATATTTGTCGTCTTCCATTATTTTAGTCAAAAGATTACAAAAATAAAAAGGAAATTAAGAAACTAAACTAGGTGATATCATTGAGATTATTTGACTCAATGCATGTCTAATATGTTTCTATATTATAGAATTGGATATGAATGTTTAACTGTGTATAACCAAAGATGCTGCAGATTCTTTGATACACACACGTATAATTATACTATATCAACGTAACACTTCGGTGTGACGAAGATAAACACTTTTGGATTTTGGTGGGGTGGGTGGATTAATATAACAATACGAAACTTCCCTAAAAGCTGCAGTTACTGACAACATATGAGTCAAAAATTTCATATCGTGTAGAGCGCCAATTCATGAGTATGAATGCCACGAAATAGTTGAGGGTTTTCAACTTTAATCTACCGTTTAATAATCGATTTAAACACTAAAATCATGCTTTACAACAACAACAACAACTGGGTAGAATATTTTACGTATCCTATTTTAACAAGGATTTTGTTTTCCGAGAGATGATATTGGTGAAAGAAAGAAATCGAGATTTTTGGCACTATAGCAGTTGGAAGTACATTAATACTGGTGTAGTGGTGTTCATTTACTGGAATCATACATATACACTATCATTTTATTTATAAAATTTTGCACAATATCGATGCAACCAACATATATTTTGATAGTTGTGCCATTTTTTTCGTGTAATGCCATTTGAGTTTGAATACAATTCTACATGTTACTGGGGAAAAAAATAAAATATATATTAAATCTAAGAAGAGTATTAAATGCTAATCAGAATTGTTTAAGTGGTCTGTAAACCAAAAATGATTTCGTTCTCGACGTTATGGCGTGGTGAGGCTGTGAGCGGGCGTGTGAGGTTTAAAACTGAATAAAAAATCAGAAGCGTCTCCCTCACCATAGGTTCATAGTCTCCTAGATTCTTAATTAGTGTCACATAAATTTTGATGCAAAAATGTTAATGGGTCGGGTTTAATTTTTGAATTTGGGCCTAACTAATATTAGATGGGAATAAATGAATGACTAACGTATGTGTCAGAAAACTTGTAATTATCAATTGATAGTTAGGACTTAGGACACATAATGAATGTTTTTCCGTTACATATCACCTTACGTTTGGACACCTCCTCTTAACTCTAGTCGTCTTTGCTGCAAAAAAAAAAAAGAGAAGTAATTACTAATTACTAATTATTCTCGTTCAGTATTAAAAAGTTACGTAGACAAAATCTTCGGTTAAAACAATAATCGAATTCAAAGAGGAAACAATAATGACTAAGATTAAACAATTAATCGAACATAGTATAAATGTTTTGGTGGTGGAGGATAAAGAATAAAGCAAACCAAATAGATAGTAATCGAATTCAAAGAGGAAACAAAGCTAAAAGAAGGACATGTCCACGTGTAAAAGACTAAACCATGCTGCCCATAAATCCAAATATTTCTTCTACCTATGGAATTTGATCTGCACCAATCTGAATCCGTTACATGGTTCCGACTTTCATTCACCTTTAGATATATAGTAATTATCTAAACATTTGTCTATTGATCAAGGCAGCAAAGACGACGACTAGGTGGAGTAAGAAAATCACTTGTATATATAAATAAAAATTTGAATTTGAATCACTTGTAAGAAAATCACTTGAATTTGATAGGGAAAATTTGTCTATTCAAACATTCGTATTTCTGCATGTGATTTCTATACCAATGCCATGCAACATGCTTGCATCTTATCTCTCTTTTTTTTTCTTCTTTGGTTTCTTTATGTTGACAAACAAAGAAATATCTTTCTTTTTTTGTCTTTTTCAAATATGGTATCGTTAGATGATTTCATATGAACAAGATGTTTCTTTTTCTTTTATGCTTTTCCAGTTAGAAAAGATGAAAGAAAGGTCAGCAGTCAAGATCAAATTCTTCTATCCCTAAAGATTTTCAGATTCTTCCGGATAGTCAATGAGTTGTCATTAATTTATTTATCAAGTTATAATTAACGCAGCTTGGACAATAAATATATACTGCATGTTTATATCATTTGATCCGCTAAGGTTCATCGAATACTGTCATGTTCATGCACTCAACTCTTTTTTTTTTTTTTTTTTTTTTTTTGAGGTTGTTCGTACTTTTAAAGCTAGTATTTTCCGGAAAGTGCTAAAACGTAGCAAATTTCATTTTTCTCCTTGACTATTAATTAAGATTCAATCACAAACATATAATTTAATACGCATAAGTTAAAAATTATCAATTGAGTATATCTTTTACGTATTCTAATCACATATGTTGCTAAAACTCGGAATTTTGTGTAATATGTAAAACCGGAGCTTGAAAATTGGTGTCATGTAAATTTAAGAGCAATGAAAAATGTTCATGATTCATGCCAAGAACTCTTCTAAATCTAGGCATAAGAGGCCTCGAATAGTTCTAAGTCTAACTAATCTAAATGTATTGTGTTTAACAAAATGTAATACAAAGATTAGTTAGTTGGGATTTGGGAATAATTTATGATTTGGCAGTCTACTGTTGCTTAATTCCCACTCGCGCAACTATCCATTTAATAATTACTCGTAGTAGGGACCGTACTTAGTGTTATCATATACTCCCTCTGTTCCTAATTGTTTGATGTTTTGGAGTTTTCACACATATTAAGAATTCAATCATTGTTTAATCATTTCAACATTATTTCTAATTTTAAATATTTTAAATATTTATCAACCAATAGTAGCCTAAGAAAGTTAATGATTTATAATCATTGTATCTTGAAGTTTACAATTTACTATTATAAATCAATAAAAATAAAATAAAATACTAGAAAATCAATCTTTGTGGAACAAACAACCAAAGCTATAACATCAATTTTTTAAGAACAGAGGGAGTATACTCTTCATAGATTTTTGTTAACTGGTTTTTTTTTTTTTTTTGTATAAACGCTTTTAATCGAGGGCAATAAGGTAAATGATGCTCCATTTGCCCGTGGGGCTGAATTTGTAGACCCCACATGCTATTACGATCCGTCCTGACACCTAGGCCTGGGCTTTCGGTTATCCGTTCGGTTGGGTCCATTCGGTTTTCGGTTCTTTCGGTTCTAAAATTTAGTATCCATTCGGATATTTTGAAATTTCGGTTCGGTTTCGGTTTGGTTCCGGTTCTTTCGGTTTTAAAATTTAGTATCCATTTGGTTATTTTGCTTAGAATATTTTCGGATATTTCGGTTATTTTTGAGTATTTTCGAATATTTTTGGATATTTTTTGGTTATTTTTGAGTATTTTTACTATTTTTATAGATGTTTCAAGTATTTTTGATTATTTGGTCTATAAATAACTAATTATTTCGAAAATATAATTGTATTTCGGGTATTTCGGTTACCCGAAATATTTCGGTTCGGTACCGATTCGGTTACGGTTATTTCGGTTATCAAATTTAGTATCCATTCGGTTATTTTCAAATTTACGGTTCGGTTCGGTTTTTTTTGCTTCGGTTTCGGTTCGGTACATTCGGTTCGGTTTAATTAAAAGCCCACTGACACCGTTAAATAAAAAATCCGTCAAAATATTGTATGGGCTTAAAACAATTTTTTGTTGGGCTAGTTTTAATAGAATGGCCCAGACGAAGGAGATCTTCGATGATCCGCATAACAGAGGATCACTAAAATCCCTTGGCCCGATTAATAAATACCATCAGACATTTTATCCTTCACTTCACTCCCCGCCCTAAAAGTAGAAACTGCGCTCGAGAGCCTTCTTCTTCGATGCATCGAAGCCTTCAGGTCACACTACCTGTCAAGACAATGCCTGCTAAGAGAATGAAGTTCTGGGGTAAACATCTCCTATCTTCCTTCTTCTCCTTCTTCTACTTCTTTCTTCTTCTTCGTTCTCTGCGCTTCGCTTCCTGCATTTAGGGTTTTTTTTCTAAATCTTCTGGTTTCATCATTTTTCCATGTTTTTCTACTGTTTCTTCTATGGAATCGTCTGATAGCTAAACGAGAGACGAGATTAGTGAGTTTGTATGACATTGACATATTTAGTGAATAGACTCCGTAGAAAATTGGGGAAAACTGGAGACTTTTTCACTCTCGCTAGGTTTTCGTTACTGAAATCGAAAACAAAATTCAGTTTCTAGGATTTGTGGCTGACTTACTGATTTTTTCGTTTGCAGGTGTTGAAGTTAGGAATGGCCCAGCGCATCATATCTATCCTGGTGAAGGCAGGCCTCTTATAACTAGGGACGACCAGCCCTACGTACATTTCATCTCTCAGGTACTTTTGAATTGCAAGCTTGATTTGGTTTGATTTGATTTATAACAAGGTATTATATTTTACAGTGACGTTTTGTTTATTGAAGGTTGCTTTAGGAGAGAATCAGAACAATGGAACCGAACCAATCCAGCTTTACCTGATAGTTGGATCGGCTAAGCGTCTCATTGGAACGCTATCTCATGAGAGGTTTCCTCAGCTGGCTACGGCGATTGTGTTGGAAAGGCACTTTTCGCTGTCTCATACTTGGAAGAATGGGAGCGTTTTCTTCTCTGGTTACAAATATGATCCATATCCTTTACTACTAGTCGAACATTTGTTGTTATTGCTTAAACACTCTACAAGCTTTGTTGATGAATATGATTTGGGGGAATTGTTGTTTTGCTCTGTTTTTTTTTGAGTTCCTTGACTCTCTTTTCTGTCTCTCTACGCCTGACCAACGTAAATGCAGCTTTATATCCACTCCTGCTATGTTTTGTCCCCAGTTAACTGATTTTGGTTTATTTAAGTATATCATTCTCTCATAAATTGATGTGTCCTTCAGATGATGTTATTGATGTTGATGGTCATGATGATTATGATGATTGTGATTTTGAAGACTCTGGAGAGGAAGAGGTACTTTTGTATATATACTATTAGCTCAATTTTCAATTTTCTTTAGGCTCAGTGACATGTTAATTAAACCTATAAACAGTGTTTTAGCCCATTCTCACAATTCTTTAATCCTTATCATTGCTGCTTTGTTTCAGGAAGAGAAGCTTACTGCTGAACCTGACAGTGAGGAAGATGATGAAGATGACTCATCAGACGACGAAGTAGATGACTCATCAGAGGAGGAGACCCCAAAGAAGGTAACATGATAGTCTCTTTATATGTGCTTCTTGATGGGAAGCCTATGTTTGTTCTGTCTTATTACCCTTCTTTTGGGATCAATTTCGCTGCTTCTGTGGTCAAACTCGGATCTGATTATAATTTTTCTTGGTTTATAAAAGCCTGAAGCATCCAAGAAGAGATCTGCAGAAGCTAACTCCTCCAAGAACCCTGCTCCCAACAAGAAGGCTAAGTTTGAAACTCCTCAGAAAACAGGTGATTAATCCTTTTATCAATCTCCCTATTGAATACTTATTTTTACAAAAGAAAGGAAGATGGATTTGTTAAATTTAAAACACTGACAAAAACAGATTCGAAGAAACCGCATGTCCATGTTGCAACTCCTCATCCATCAAAACAGGCGGGTAAGAATTCTGGTGGAAGCAGCATTGGAGAGACTTCGAAGCAGCAGCAGACACCGAAGTCTGCAGGAGCATTTGGGTGCAAGTCGTGCACCAGAACCTTCACTTCGGAAATGGGATTGCAGTCTCACACAAAAGGCCAAACACAGTGCAGCTGCTTAAAAAGAAGAAGAAGCAGCTTGATGACTACTCTCTATAATATCTACTCTAGAACTTTGATGTCTTTTGGTACTTAAAATCTAGAACTAGCGAGTGAGCCAGTTTTAGTTGGTCTGTTTTTTTTCTCAGGCGTTTCATCCTGTTTTTCTTGATCGTTGGTAGCTGAAACTTTGCTAAACCTTTGTTTGTGTTTAGTGATAATATGGATATTAAGTCTCTTTGGAGGCTTTTGTAGTGAAAATCTAGATTTGAAATTCTGTCCAAAACACATTGATTGAAGATTAGTTAGCAAATCAATTTGTACAATAACCCAATGGACCCGAAGATAAGGAAGGATTATTAGTATGCAACCACATAAGATTGCGGCGTATATAAAATACAATATGAAGAGTTTATTAACGACAAGCAGGTTTGTCCGAGTGGTTAAGGGGGAAGACCACAATACGCAATGACTTGTATGTATAGTTGAAAGAAGCTCTACCACCACAGCAAAATCTCTGATGAAATAAAGAGAAAAACCAAACATAATCTTCACATTCTTGTGGAACAAGAAAGAAAACATCTAATATTGTCATTAAGAGACAATTTCATGAATAGTTGTAATAAAGAACATTGAATTGGTTTGAGAGACGAAAGAAAATAATATTACACTGTTACCCTTCCAGGCTTTGTAGAATCTGATATGAGAAATGTGTTTAGAAGAAGAAGCCGTCATGAGAATATGATCACCAGAGGGAATGCAATGAACCTGACTAATCATTCTCTCCCTCTGCATTTTCTGTTTTCTCCTTGCCTCAAAAACCCATACATAAAGCCTTTCTTTACAAAAAAAATTCTTCAAAGATTCTATAAATTCTTAACTGAATGTGAGAAATTCCCAAGTTTTTTTTTTATTTGGTATCAGCCAAATTAAAGATGGGTTTTGGGGATTTCTGTATTTAATTTTTGTTTCCTTAATAATCCAATGCAAACCAATCCCTTCTGCATGCAGTCTTTGCTCTCTCTCTCTCTCTCTTTCTCTCAATTTTAATTTAATGCATGTCTTCTTACGTGAACATCATTAAGTCTCTTTGGAGGCTTTTGTAGTGAAAACCTAGATTTGAAATTCTCTGTCCAAAACACATTGATTGAAGGAAGATTAGTTAGCAAATCAATTTGTAACATAACCCAATGGACCCGAAGATAAGGATTATTAGTATGCAACCACATAAGATTGGGGCGTATTTTTTTAATACACTCTTTGCGTTGTTTTTAATCACAAATTTTCACCACTAAAGTAAGTTGTAACGAGTTTCTCATATATTTTTTTCAATTGAATGTTGTTTCCAACCGTTTCTTAATTTTCTTTTGTGTTTGTTGTTTATCAAACAGTGGGAACAGAGATGGTAATGGTTCACGAGGTTCCTTAACCTCCACAGACCACAGATAATGATCACTTCCAAGTCACTTTCTCTTCTGGGCCAAGGTTCCTTTTCTAAGACAAAAACAGATTTTCTGTTTTGCAATTTCATAATGTTAGATACCTTAAATAATGCAATAATATTCCAGGTAATAATTGTCCTGTGGATTATTTATATTCTTGTTAAAGGGATCACTGACATTGAGATCCACTTTCTTCAAGTGAAGTTCACGGCGATCGGAGTTTACTTAGATATCCTTCAGATGAAGAAGTGGAGAAAAACCAAACAAGTATATATACAATATAACGGTTTTTAGTAATACAAAATCATATGTTTTCAAAAATCATACAAAATCATAACGGTTTTAAATATGTTTTGTATTACTTTAATTTTTTTTTTTTTTTTTTTTGGTAAAACATTACATATTTGTACTACCACTGAGATTCAATTACAATGTTGTTGAAAAATGACTTATAAACACAATTAAATCATAAGTACTTAAGTTTTTTTTTTTTGATAATGATGCTACATGTAGTTTATTCGTACCACACAACTTACAAAATTATTGGTGACCATATATCCTTTGTCCCCAATTGGTGATTTTTCTAAAATAATGCAAGTGGCGAGGACCAAGAGATTTGATAGCTAAAAACAAATGGGCCGAAAGAAACATTTATTTTCCATATACAGTAAATGCTTTTTTTTGAGAAAAACCGGGAACCAATTGGTCACCGGTTCAGCATCTAAGTACGGGTCGTAAAATTCAAACATAAACCGAACCGAATCGATCGATACGCCGCGTTTTGGATTCGTCGGCGAACACAAACAAAGCTTCAACGGCGACGTGTTTCACCGACCTCGAACCTCCACTCTCCGGAGATATATTATTATTATTGAGGCGCTTGATCAATCCAATATCGATTTTTGCACTCCAGTTCAGGCCGCGACGATTCCTTTACTCTGCACTTTGGCAAATGTGAAACTCTCTGTTACTTGTTGGAAGCGGAGAGGTGAAAGCAGATCGGTACACCTGGAAGGCTTTCAGATATAATGGAACGAATAGATTTTCGAAATCAACGAGGTAGTTTTCTTCTTTAATCGGGGATTTATATATTTTAAGATGGATCTTGTTGAATCTATTATCTATATAGCTGGATATTGTTATGTTGTCTGAACAACTTGCAAGTTTGGTTTCTTACTTAAACTGACTCGTTTTGCATATCAAGATTCTTATTCTAAATTCAATTTGGTGAATTACATTATATCTCACGCTTGCCAAAGCAGAGGAGCACAAACAGAGCTGGGGCTTAGGAACCCTGTGCGAGTTAAAGTTCGAGCTGAGTCCAAGTCCGAATCATCCCAGCAATTGACAAACTCGAAAACCCCTTTCTGGTCTTCATCTTGAGGTACATATTATAAGTTCAATATATACATAGTATGTTTCGGGGTAGCAAGTTTTTCTTTTGTATCCTGCATTATCATTTAGCGACCGTGACCTGATTTATGAAGATTTCTCTTCTATTGTATGTCCTTCTCTTGGTAGCAAGCAAGTTTCCTGATATTTATCATATCTTATATTTCCTCACTTATGCGTTTTTCTTCTCCTTGTCTCTACTACAGTATATGGAGTGCGAAGCAGATAAGATATCATCACAACTAGTGGATCTCCTCATCAAGAACAGTAATAAAAAAGCTTATAGTGTAAGTTTTAAAAACATTCCACACCGACTTTTAAAATGAAGCATCCTTCATATGTAGTCTAATGTAACTCTGCAGATTCTCTTCATGTCCTGTGCTTCTGTTGATTACTGGCTGACTTTGATGCTATTCCCATGTTATCTAAGACGTATCTGCTCCTACTTTCAAAAATTCCTACTCTCAAGTCCATATTGTTACTAGAGGTTTTGATGAAATATACTTTACACATCAGAATGCAAGAGGCAAGGCATTCATTAGCTTCTGTGCACAGACTTGATATTCCAGGCATTGATTATGTAGTTCATCTAGATTCAGTAATGTTTGTTTCCATATTGTTTTGCCATCTTTGTTGCTATGTTTATGATTCAGAGGTTCGATCATGTTCATGCAGTATGATCCCACCACAAGACCAAAATATGTTCAACCACAGGGCCGGCAGAACTGCAAGGCTGGGAAGACAAAGGAGGGCCATTGTGTTTTTACTGTCCCATGTTTAGCCTTGAGCACTTCATGTTCTCTTGTGCCCCCACGTTCTCCATAGTTACATCACAGAGCATGAAAAGCTTAAAAGTTCACTTGCATATGTGCGTAGGAGGAAGCCTATGTAGAGTTTATCCGCATAAGAAGAGTCCCTCTGGAAGAGAGACAAAATGATCTGAGGACGCATCCGATGTCATCCCGATTGTAATAAAACCTCCATCTGTCTGTCTCTCTCTGTTGGTCACAACGCTTACTAATATCTACAAGACTACAACAATGTGTTCAGATACGTTCAGCTGCCTTGAAGGACCGAGCCAGTGTTGGCGGGATTAAAGGAATTTGTTTCCTTTGTCCGTGCTTATAAAGAGCAACACTGCTCTTTCATTTTCAGGTTCATTCATGAGGCTCAGTCATTTTTTTTTCTGTTTCTACAAATTCTGTATCCCTCTTATCAGTTTTGTGGTGGAATGAACTTGTAATCGGAAAGCTAGCCTTGGAATATGGCCTCCTTGTATCTTTCGAGCGAGTGTTACACACCCGTTGAAGGTGTCAAGTTTGAAGACATAGAATTCAAGTAGTTTTTCTTTTTACAAAACCCCTAAACACTAATGATGATATTATTCTATATCCGCTTTCTCCCATTCGCTTGATACATTTGGTAAAGTGAGTTTACATATATCTCTACACTTACAATGAGTCAATGACAAGTTTTAGAATTAGAGGAAACAAGCTTTTGTAGTACTCTGAAGTCTTTGTCCATATCCGTGTTCTCAGGAATCATATACTTTCTAACTCAACGAGTAGGCATTTTAGTAGATGTTTCTGCTGAAGAAGATAAGACTAAAGAAGATGAATTAGCGAGACTGAGATGATTCTGATGAGAAGAAACACCGACCCTGCAATGCTTGAATTTGTTGTAGCAGAATGGACTAAAAGCTGTGTGTGTTTCTACTACTCTCATGTCTGTTAGTTAAAAAAAGAAAAGGTCAATTTAGTGAGCATAGCTTTTTGTCTTTTGCGTTCTAGTTTTTGAAATTCACTCTTATAAAGATATTAGATCCTTCACAAAATAGATGCTAAAACAGAGTACAACAACAACACAAACAATGACTCTAACATCTGACACTCAATAGGCAATAAAGTTATTAGACATGGTTTAACAAACATAGATAAAAGATCAAAGTAGGAGGAGGAGGGGTGAGAAACATGTGAAATGGCGGATGGACGACAAACTTCTGTTGAGAGATCATACCTGTCAAAAGAAAAAGGAAAGTAGTATATCAGTATTTATTTCACAGGAAAATAGTAATATAAAAATGAACGTAACTATGGAGTATCAGTACAAATAATCATCACAGAAGTGTGACAAATTTACGACAACAAACTAAAGGTTAATTTTCTAATTTCTATACAACCAAAGTGGTCATGAAGATCAATAAGAACATTGTTGCAAACGAAACCTCAGCCACCTAATTTCCGTAAGAATATTAATACATTTTATGATAAAGTAAAAGACATACCACCATCTCAACATACTCGAGCACCAGAGAGTATGGAAGGCGGGCGAAGCGGAGATAACCACGGTCTCCATGGTCAACATCTCCGTTACTATCCTGCATCTCGAAGTACGGAGTCCCATCAATTTCATCTGTACCAGCCCCTATAAAACAAAAAAAAATTCAAATTAACATTATACAGAGATAAATTTCCTTTTGTTTATGTTAATTACTAATCATCATCATTAAAAAAATGCAAAATTTAATCCCGTAACAAGTTAGCTGTTGAACATACCTGTCAATAGCATGCTGTGAGTAAGAGTCTTTTTATAAAAGTCGGGATTATTTTTAAAAGTATCCCATTCATCATCAGTTGGTTTGTATATTCCCTACCAGGAAAAAAAAAGAAAAATTAAAGTCACAAACGAAAATTAATCTACGAAAATTAATCAACGAAAATTACTTACATCTCCGTTACGATGCTCGTAACTTGGAAACCACAATACAGTGACGGTGACTGGAACCTCATCTTTTGCCAAATCTTCAAGTAAAGTGTCCCATCTTTCAGGCTGAAGGTCAACTTCATTCTCAACTGATATTGAAATAGCTTTATAAACCTGCAAATCACAAGTTTATTCACAAACCAAAAACAAAAAGAGAAATAAACAATTTTCACTAACAACAACAAAGAGAAGGAAACAATTACCACTCCTTTTTTAGACTCGATCCCAACAACCGTAAGAGCATGGCTCGCATCTGTTATAGATTCAATGACACCCTCATCCTTTGAAGGTGTTTTAAGGAAGAGATCCTCTGCCTTAAGATAATCATCTCTCGGCATCTTTCCACTCCTCTTTAGGTTAGCTTCCAATTGACTTGTAAGAGCATGTGCCCAACAATCCTCACGTGTCTGGTTAGCAGGGCATGGCGTTAAAAGAGTGGGATCGTTGATTCTACACGTGTCAAGTCTGATTTTAGACAGATTTTGAATCAGACTCTCTCGCACTTGTGGCGATACTCCAACCGGAAGCTTTTTTAAAACTCTTCTATGTGTCAAGAGCTCGTAAGAAGGCCACTGCGTCTCAACCTGAATACTCTACAAAATTAACGGACGAAAAATGAACATAAGAACAACATCATCAATCTTCTTAAGAAAAACAGAGATTTTTTGTTGAGAATCCGTCTCTTACCAGCAAATCCCTTCCTAGATCTATAGCAACAGATCTGAGTACCCAGATAACGAAACTTCCTTCAAGATACCTTTGTGAGCAAAGGAATCTGTCATCAAAACCAACATCTCTGCTTAGTACCACTAAAGGAGATACTGCTATGACGACAGCGGGCTCTTCCCGATGGAGAACGAATTCGGCGACCTCTTGGATCCGGCCGGGAATGTCGGAATACTCAAGGAGACGGACATCTGCTCCAACGTCATCTTGATTAACGACTCTCACCATAACGATTTCGCCGATTTCGGGCATGAGAGATTGAAATCTCCTGGAACTCGCCGCCGCCATTGTTGAAATGTTGAGAATTAGGTTGGTTTCGATTTTGGAAACTCACTTTAGGTTGGTTTCGATTTTGAGATTCGGTGGGCTTTGTTGGGCTTGAAGTGACAAACAAATAGGGAAAAGAGTAATGATGGTTAGACTTGTATCTAAAACAACAGAATCAGAAGAAAAAAAGTTGGATAATAGATCAATATTTATTTTAATTTTTTTGAAACAAGAAAAAAAAAGGAGTGATGATTTTGAAATAAGAATCCGAAGTTCAGAACAATTGTTAGAAAAATTACAAGGAACAAATAAGTTCATTTTGTTTTGACTAAAACAAGTAGTAAGGTATAAATTACTTACCAAGGAGGCCTAATCCTCTCAATACGACTGGTCATCATCGGCGGCAATTGACGACGGTTATCCATCGGCAGAGCTTGAAACGAAATAAGAGAACGGAAGAGATCTAAAATTTGTTATGTATATGAATGAATTAAAAGGAGAAGTTGAAGATTAGATAGAGGATTGGTTTTTTTATATAAATAGAGCGTGAGGTGGTGAGATAGGCCAACAACTTTGCTAATACACATGTCCAATCAATGGTTCACACCTGTCAAAAATCTTACCTGATTACGTCTTTTTTTTTTTTTTTTAGTTAATGATTCGGTCAATAATCAAATTTATTAGTTAATGATTCGGTCAACTAAACCTTTGATTAAGGAGTTAAATTTGGAGATTCCCTGATTTTACGGCCTTATCATCTGTATTTTATATTTAATACTTGGTAATAATTACTTTCTTTTTTTCTTACTATAAAATAGGTGATAGTTGCTTTATATTAGTAGATTTCATTCCGTAGTTTATTATTTTACCATAAACGTATGTATTCTATATTTAATACTAAGGTGAAAATTGCTTTTTTCTTCTTACTATAAAATAGGTGATAATTCATTTCTATTTGTAGATTTCATTCTCATATTTTACGGTCTTACCATAAACATCTGTATATATTTAATATATTAGGTAAGAATTGCTTTTTTTTTCTTTACTATAATATAAGTGATAATTGTTTTATAGTATTTGGAGATTTCATTCCCATATTTTAACGTCTTACATAAACGTCTATATTTTATATTTTATACTAGATATTAACCCGCGGTACACCGCGGGTCTATATTTTCCCTAAATTAAAAAATGATTTTTTTAGAATTTCCCCTACTAATATGGTAAACCGCATGTCAATATTTTATAACTAAAAAATCAAAATTTAAGTTGTATTTGTTTTATTTAGTGTTTAAGATTGTATAATTGTATTTTGATCGCTAATTCTAGGATTTCACCCGTAATATGCCATCCCGTATTAATATCGATCTAAATCCGTCCCACTATATAACTCCGTCCCGTGAAATTAAACATCATTTTTGTAATTTTTTTATAAAGTTCAAATATTTCTAATATTTGAAACTTCATAAAAGTTTTAATACGACCCAAACTTCATAATTGTATTTTGATTTTTATATCTAGGATTTCACCCGTAGTATACCGTCTCGTATTAATATCTTTTATAAATATTTATAATGTTTAAACTACTTATAAATTCTTATAAAATTCAAATATTTATAATATTTGAAACTTCATAAAAGTTATAATATTATAAATAATTAAAACGTTTAATAAAGTTAGACTTTTAAAAAAGTTTAAATAATCATAATATTTAATTTTTAATAAATTTTAAATATTTGGATCCACATTTATACTATATACTATAGAAATTAGAGTTTATGAGTTTAATAAGTATACTTTAATAAGAATTATTATAGTAATAAAATTTACAATCAATTATATATGACATAGCTTATTATTTATAATTGATATTAATATAAATTTAAAATATCACTAATACATCGCAATAACACATATTAAATCCTCATTTTATTATTTAAAATTTAGCATACGGTATACCGCGGGTAAAATCAGTATAAGACGGGTTAAATCAGCATCTTATTCAAAATCATACAATTGAATCTATTGTTTTTATACTACGTCTATCTATAAAATTTCAATTTTTGTAATAAAATTTCGTCTCACGGTGTATTATACATTTAAATTAAACAAAACAATAGTATATATCTATAGATTATCTTAAAACAAAATTTAATAAATTTTTCTAATAAAAATATAGATCCGCGGTGTACCGCGGGTTAACATCTAGTGTCTTACAATTTGGATGTATGAAATTGTTGATCTCATTTGTAAGCATGAGTGGAATTCAAAACATTTGGGTTATAGTTTGTATTTTCGTTTTTTATTTTTTCTTTTAAGTTTTTTAAAAATCAATGCTATCAAACTGTAGTTATCTTATATATATATATATATATATTAAGATTATCATTAAACATGAAGATTTACCTAGAAAAAATAGGGTGAATAAAAAAAACTAACCATATGAAAGAATCTGACGTAAATTAAAAGCATATGCTCTTGATAATGGCAATCATCAATGGGTTGCTCATCTTGTATAGGATTATCTGCGCAAGACATCAAATGTTTATTAAATTCATGAATCAGAAAAATGAAAGTTCATATAACAAATAAAGATTGGAATGGGTAAGAAGAGGTATTTGTTTGATGAGTTTTCTAATCGAGTAAAAGTGTGGTATTTATAGGGTAGGTAGGCATCTAGGTTTATTGTTAAGGTAGTTTGATAATATCTTGGAGAGAAAGTAGAAAATCAAAGATATTATATACAATGAAAGTTTAGGATATGTTTAAGGAAAGATTAGGAAATCGTTATATAACAAAATTTATTTGAAAAAGATTGTAAATCATTTGGTTTTGCAGAGAATCTTAAAAAAAAGCTAAGCAACCATTTAAAAGGAATATAGCCGATTAATGTGGTAATTAGTTTAGGAAATCACATTAAACCGAATTAAAAAAATAATTATAGTCATAACTTTGTTTCTTAAAATCAAATGTTAAGAAAAATATGGAAGAGTATATAATTATGGTATCATCGTTGAGATTTTCTTGGGCGATAATTATGGATTCAATTAGAGAAGGGAACCATATAATGGAAAGAATTTAATTAGCCATAATTATGTTTTAAAAATATTTTATTGCATAATATAAAGAGAATATAGATGATATATGGTATGTGGATGTAATTAGTTAAGATGGCATAAATATTCGAAAATCATCTCGAGATAAAGAGTAATATAGCCTATTAATATGGGAAGAAGTTAAGGAATAAGGAAACATAAATATATGTGTAATTATCTATATTAATGACGGTTTTTTGGTTAGAGATATGTAGAATTAAATGATAATTTGGTATTAATTAAATGCTATCAAATGTCTCGGAGATTTTATTTTAGAAACTAATCGTGGACTAAGCAGAGATTTTTGCAAGATTCGTAAACGGAAAATCTTTAATGCTACTATTGATAAAAAGGAATAGAACCAATTAATGTGGGAAGTAGTTAAGGAAATAAGATTAAAACGAATTGTATGTTTAATTTAGTCTTAAATGTCGTTTTTATTACAATATTCCTTAAATCTCTTATTCTAGATCCGAATAGGTTTAAACCGGGTAAAACCCGGATCCAAATGATTAAAAGCAAAAAAAACCTGTAAAAATGTATATGTAGATATGAGTTTAATACCATTAAATTAATCAAAGATTTTTAATCATAATTGGAAACGAATAATGCAGTAAATGCGATTTAGTAATGTTGTAAAGAATATGCCATTTATGTAGAATGATTGTTGCGATTAGTTTCCAATTAGTTTTATTTTTGGGATTATAGTATCTCAAATTTTAAACTAATTTAGATTTTATTGTTTTGTTTACATAAATACGAAAATAATTTGTTCACCCACATCATAAAATATTACCAAAATATATATATATATATATATATATATATATATATATTACGTAATATTAAATAAAAGATTATATAGCTAACTATTTTCATTTGATGGTGTAGACAAATTATTATTAATATTTATGTAATTTAATTACAAAAATAATTTAGGAAAATAACAAATATTACTTTTTATAACAAAACAAAATATTATTCGTAAAAACAATATTTATTATAAAAAATATTTTGAGAATCCTTTAGAAATTTAATATTAGATATTCAAATATATCAAAAACATAATTACGGATTATGTGAAGATTAGGATATATAATCTTCAAATAAACATATTTTATTATGATTTCCTTATGAATGTATATATTAATTGTTATTTTGATTTTAAATTTATTGCAATTTAAATGGGGAATTGCCTATATTTAATCTGTTATTGTAAAAGAAAAATGATGTAGCTTATTATTGGAGTATTTACACAAATTTATTAACATAATATATATATATATATATATATATATACTGTTAAGAAATAAATACATTTTTCTTTATAATTTCATAATATATTTATTGTTAAAATCTGGACATTTATTATGAGCATAAATATGAAAAACGATTTTTCATTAAAATTGGCTATTTATTAGGGTCATAAATATGAAAGATTATTTACCATTAAAATAGGTAACTTCTTTGTAATTAAAGAAACACTAAACGGAGTAAGTAGATGAATTAAAGACAACATGGCTTCATTTATCAGTTTGAAATTAAGACAACATTCCTAAAATTCCTTATCCAAGATCCGGATAGAGTTAAATCCGGGTAAAACCCGGATCCAAATGAATTAATGCAAAAAAACTCTATAAAAATGTATATGTAGATATTATACTAAGTGATAATTGTTATCTTTCTATAGGTAGATGGTAAATTGTTTATATTTGTAGATTTCTAAATTTTACGATTTTTTTATAAACGGTTAGATGGAGGAAACTAAAATCTTTGAACTTGTTCGGAAAAGAGAGAATCTCTTATCACTTTGAGTTGAGACGCTTAAAATAAGGGTTTTTAGTAAGAAAACCGTTCAACGAAAGATAAATTGTAAGACAATCTCTCAATTATATATTTAGTGAAAAAATCCCTTCAACTTCAAATTTGTTAATGAAAATTCCTCTCAATTTCAAATCTGTTAATGAAAATCACATTCTCCCTAGTATCGTTAAAATTGGACGACCTACAGTTCAAATTAAAACATAATATTTTTTAGAATCTCTCCTAATCGACTTTAACACCATATAAATTTCAGAGAATCTCATTATGATAAATTTGGGCTCATCAATTTAGATTTTTCAATTTCAGAATTTTAGAGCTAAGTTTGGAGATTTATAATCGGATAGAAGAATATTTTGTTGGTTTTGTTGACTATTCATGTTGTTTAAGTGTATATATGTCAGTTTTCAATTTCAATTTAAGAGTAGTTCGTCCAATTTTCAAGAAAATATCGATGGAGGGAGATTTCTGTTACAGATTTTAAGTTGAGGGGTTTTTTCACTAAATATATAATTGAGGGGTTTTTTTACAATTTATTTTTAGTTGAGGGGTTTTATTACTAAAAACCCTTAAAATAATTACAAAAGATATTTGTTAGAAAATAAAATATAGTGAAAATATTTTGTTGTGTAAAACAAATGTAATAAAATATAAAACAAAAAGTTTTTTGGCAAAGTAATTATCATGATTTGGAATATTATGTTTTAATGATCATAAAAATTCTAGACTTCTAAAGTATCACCAATTTAATTAAAATCTAAATTTCTCATGGCAT